CTATATTTTTAAAATCTATGTCTACATAAAATACCTAGAATGCACTATGCAAATGCTAGATTAACACTTATTAAAAACTTTTAAACTATATTATGTATAACTTTAGTATAAACTTTACTTTAAAAGATTTTTAAGCTTATGTAAAGATTATAAGAGCTACATGTAGGCAGATGCCTATAGAAGCACATTAGGTAGTTAAAAAGGTTAAGCGCGTGCATACACCTCTCTAATAAGTGTTTAACATTCTAAAGACTAAGCTAGGTAACTGTATAAATAATAAGGCTATCTTATAAATAGTAGTTAAAGCTCTAAACAACACAGCTAGCCTATATAGTCTAGTACCTACACTGCTAGTCTTTAGAGCATACCTAAAAATTAACCTAAACTTTCTACTATTACTAAACATTATTACACAAGTAAGCGCTATATAAAAGGTAATAAAGATACTTTAAAAAAACTATATAAAAGTAAACATTAATTATATAATTAACACTTATAATAGCTTTATAACATATAAAGTTCTTAACTTCCCTCTTAGCTTAAAGATTATAGTATAAAAAAAGAAAAAAAGCTAGACTAGCTTATATAAAATTAAAAGTATTAAAAAAAAAACATTATTATTAAAAAAAAAATTAGCCTACTAAAGCTTTAATATATATAAGTTAAACTATACTATAAAGAAAAAAAAATAACTTACTTATAATAAATAACTTAAATAAACTAATCTCTATATAAAAAGATCTTTTAAAAAAAAGAAAAAAAAAATAGCTTTATAAAAATATTATAAAGGTAAAACTAAAGCCTACTATAGACTAAGCCCTTTAGAATAGCAATGCTGCACTAGTGCAAAGAGAAGGTATAGATACTAAAAGAAGTAAAAGGTAAAGAAAACCTATATAAAGTCTAGACTAGGTATTTCTAACCTAGAAAAAAAAATAATTAGGCCTTATTTATTAAGCTTTATATAAATAGTATAATTACTATACTTAAAAAACTATTTAAAAAATTAGACTATATAAAAATAAACACTTTAATTACTAATAGCACTTTTAAAGTTATAGTGTATAACTTAATAAAGCATAAAAGTTAGATTTTTAACTTTTACTTTATATAAAAAGTAAAAGGTAAAATAACTTAACTATATAAAAAATTCTGCCTAGTGTTTACTAGCTACTTAGATAAAAAGAAAAGAAAAATCTTTACTTAGTTACTAACTATTTAAAAAATAAGCTAGAGACTACTTTTAGCTATAAAAGTAAGCTTAAGAGCTATATATAAAATGCATTTTAAACTATATAATATTACATAAGTATATATCTAATTAATAGATAAGCTTATGCGCACACTGTATATAAAGCTACTAAAGAAGATGCGCTAGAGCTTTCTACTAAATATAATACTCTAGGTTGTACAACTCTTATATAAAGCTGCTAAATTAGGACTGTATTAGTTTAAGATATATTATAACTACTATAAAAAAAAGCTATGTATGCACATTTTTTATATAACTTTTACTTTTTAATTACTAATAAAAAAAAGTACACCTTTAGTATTACTAGCTTATAAATAAATAACACTTTAAGCATTATAATAAAAAATTTTATATAAAAAAAAAAAAAAAACTATAAAAAGTAAAGTTTTATATAAAAAGTAAAACTATTTTAGTAAAAAAGTAGCTTATTAAGTTTAATAGTAAAAGAATTAAACTTACACATAACATAGTAGTTTTTACTTAAAAGAAATAAGTAAGCTACCTTTATATAATTAACCTAAAAAATAAAAATGCTACATAATAATATATTAAGTAATATGTAAAAAAGGCATATATTATATTTATATATTAACTAAAAGCAGCATTTAACTTATTTATTACTACATAAACTATAGACCCTTTGCATAATAACATTAACACACTTAATGCATAAATCTAATAGTAGATAAATAATAGTAAGTGTAGTCTTACTTTTTTACTATTATAGCTTAATTATATAAAGCTGTTTATCTTTATAAATAAATTATTTACTAATAATAAAAACTTTAGCTTATAGCTAGAATTTTTAATTATATTAAGTAATAAAAACTATATAAAGTAAAGTAACTACTTTAAAATACTAGGTAACATTATATACTAGAATTTTACTAAGTGTAAAAGAGTAACTAGAAGTGTTCTTACTAGTAAACTATATAGAATAGTTAGAAAGTTTAATAATATAATTACTTTTAGTATAACTTTATAGTAAATTATATAAACACTTAAACTACTACTAATTCTAGTAGTAATCTGCATAAATTTAAAGTTTTTATATAATTACTTTATTAAGCTAGGCACTACTAGTAAAAAGTAACTTATAATTAACATTATATTACTTTATAAATTATATAAAAAAAGGGAAATTACTAAAATAAAGTAAATTAATAGTAAAAATAACTTAGTAAATATATATATAAAAAAAACACTAAACTAGGCTTTTTAATTATTAGTTCTAACTAACTACCTCTTTGTCTAGATAGAAGCATCTGTAGACTAGCTAGATCTTGTGCGCAAAGATGCCTTAGACTAACTAGACTAACAACACTTTTATATAAGGCCTATTTCTCTTTATTTTTTTTTTTATATTATACATACTTATCTTTTTTATTATAAGGATCTGTTACTGTTAGCACTATATAAAAAAAAAAAAGAGCTAGAGGATTATATAGTAAGGCTTAGAAAGTAAAAAATAAAGAAAAAAAAAGCTATTTATATAGCATAACTAGCTTATTCTAACGCACAGCATTACTAAGGCAAGTCCTAATAAATAAGGTAGAGTAAAGGCAGAACATAATTAGATAAACCTACACAGACAGAAAAAAGGTAACGCGTATAGAAGGTAACTCTTTAGATAAAAAGAAAAGTTGCTAGTGTCTGTACACAGCAGCAGCGTTACAGCCTAGATACAAGCGATCACGCACAAGCAGGATCACGTATCTATGTCACATAATGCTTGTGCGCGAACCTCTGTGCGCAAACATCTAGATATCCCCCTTTTTCTCTGTACAAAGGAAAAATAAGAAGTAATTAACACTAGTTACCTAACACCCCTATGCAATGTTTACACTGTGCAAACCTCTCCGTCTCATACGCATTTGCTAACACTAAGTGCTAGCTAGCAGAGAGTCTATTTAACAGCTTCTCTACTTATGTATAAACTTAGTAATAGTGTCCTTAAGCTTAAAATAGCAGAGGAGCATAAGATAAACACTGTGCTAGTGTACACTACTATCTTATATAAGATTAAGTGTTCTAAAGCTCTAGAAAGAGTTATTATTATTAAAAGTAGCCTAAAAAGTTATAAAAGCCTTCTATTATTTATATAATGCTAGCACTATGTTTATAAAATTATAAAGTTTTCTAATAACTTTATAGTAGTAATAAAAGTTAAATTGTTCTTAAAAAGCTACTTAAGCAAGCTCTACTTTAAAAGCGCTTATCCCTTTGCTATAGATAACTGCTTTTACTACTAGCTAGATTGTATAGCCAGCGCAGCGTATATAGTGCTTAGAGGTAAAAGGCATATTAAGATGTTAGGCAAGAGTAAAGATAGTCTTATTATTATTATTTAACATATTATTAGCTACTAAATAATAAAATTTTAACATAATTTTAAAGTTATTAATAACTTTAATAATCTCTAGCGCTTAATTTGCTTTAGTATAGTTACTATATAAGTTGCAGAAGCTAATTAAGATGTTATAGTGTTAGTAGTTAATATCTACACAGTATTATTAGTTAGTGTTTAGTTTAATAAAAGATGCTAAGACGCTAAACTAATAAGCTAAAGTACACTTACTAATAAAGTACAACACTACACCTAGGAAAAAGAGGTAGTTTAGAGAAGTCTATATATTAATGCTTAACATAATTTTGCTTTAGGCTATTTTTAGCATTATTTAAATCTCCTGCTTCTGCTATGTATATCCCTACTGCACGTAGAATAAATATGTAGTGTTAGACGCTAGGAGGGCAGCAAGAAGATTAGCTTTATTTTAGGTAATTATACCCTAAAGTTCTACTAATAATGCTGTATAAAAAAAAATATTATAAAGTATTACTTAGTTAATAACTACTACTTATAAAGCTTCCTTCTACTAAACACTATAAAAAATAATATATAATAAGCTTATAACTTTATAAGCTGCTTTAAATAAACTTAAGGGGATTCTTAGCTTATTAAGTAAAAAAGTGCTTTTACTTCTTTTACTAACATCTATCTAGTGCTCCTTTCTAAAGTAGTAGATAATATAAGTGTAACTATTAACTTTCTTTACTCTTTTATAATTACTTTTAGTGTAGCACCTTCTGCAAAGCTATAACTTTATCTTAAAGGTGTTTCTTTTATTATTATACACTAAATTAGCTTTATAAAGCTATATCTAGAATAACTAATAATTACTATATAATTAACTTTTATACTTTACTTAGTATCTAAGCTTTTTTAGCCTTAACTTTTTATTTCTTATCTAGACATTATTCTACTTAATAGTAAATAATACTTTATTATTAAAAGTAAAGTTGTTTAGGTACTTCTTTATAAAAGCTAAAAGACTATTAGATAGTGTGCTATTATAAAAAAAAACTAAGAACTCTAATAATAAAGACCTTAATTAAGTAAGTTAATAAGAACTAGCGTAATAAGCAACTCTAGTTTAGTAAAAAGAGCTAGCTTAAAAAGATCCTTAGGATAAAGCTGTACACCTGCTACACTAAAGAAACTAGGATATCTAGCTTATAATAAGTAAGTTTATAAGCAATTATAATTCTTAACTAAAATTATAAGATCTTACACTTTAATCCTCTTCTTTGCTAGCTTTTTAATTATTATATAAACTGTAAAGTTTTTACCTAATTATTACTTTAAAAATATAACTTTAAACACCCTTTTAACGCGTCCCTATAGCTGTCTAATAAGACTTTATATTACTAGGAAATATTGTCTCTCTAAGACGTATTACGGTCCGTAATGGGAGCTGGCTCCTACGTATGTTATGGCTCACACTCCTCCTACGTTTCAACGGCTCACGTGACTGCTACGTTCACGTATCTACGAGTCGTAGTACGTACGGTTGGGAACGCTGAGCGAGTGAAAAAGAGCTTATGGCTTAAAGTCTCGTCCAGAGCTCGATAAAGACTATCACGATGCCGAAGAGTGTTTTGCGCGGAACAAGATCACTTGAGGTTTTAAGGATCCTAAACTCTGGGTCTAATCCGGTCGTAATTTGGTATCAATTCTGCTTTATACGCTGCTATTACCATCGTGCCGAATGCCATTGCTGGTCTTGGGTGTACAGTACATCTACAGTCAGCTCTCAAAATTTTGCCTTGCCTGTGTATTTGGCTGCAACGACCTTATATCTGACTATCAGATGGCCCTCCGATGGCCCAAAGTTAAGATCTCTATTCGTTGGCTGCTCACTTTCTTCCTAGCTCACTCGCTACGTCATCCTTACTATCCCAAGCTCACCTATTGGCGTACCGTATTTTAAGTCTTCCTGGCTGATACTAGGCTTTACTCTACTACGTCCCTTAAACTCGTCTTGGCCGGATGCAACCATTCTGGGTACAATAGAAGAACTTTTAGGACAGGAATTATCTAGCTCGTTGGAACTTCGGCTAAGGCAACAATTAAATTCATCTTCAAAGGGTAGACCCCACCAAGATATCTAGGGGGTATGCACTTCACGACTTGGGTGATAATGCTATCTAATATGTCTTATAGTATTGAGTCTACGGCCCGCTATTAAGGGGAACAATGAGAAAATGGAGTAAATCCCGGAAGGATCGCCGAATCGACTGGAATAAGTGGATCGCAATATCATACCTGCTTCATATTATATTTCTAACGTTGGAAAGACAGGACACCAGTTCTCATGGGCTATATAATTCTTCAATTAATATCAATCCTACGAAACACAGCATGGCTTTCATGAGTCCTTGATACCAGTGTAATCTTAAAACTTTCCAGTCTGTCCGTCTGACGTATTTGCGTTCTAGACAACGAAGAAGAAAACACGAGTTAATTGAAAATACTAGCTTGAGTTCCCATGACATATCTATCTCTTGTTAACCCTCCGTTATATGACTGAGTCTTGAAGCGTAAGGGTACCAGTTCTATATGGTGTATTGCCCATCCAAGAGCAATTGGCCCAACCCTCCACGACCGGCTTATACTGAAGACATCAACCACCGTTCCTTCCTCTCATAGTGCCAGTGGTACAAGCCGTAACTAGCCTTTTATCTTCGGACGAAATTTTCAAGATATATAATACTCAGCCAGGCGTCTACGAATATAACGTAAGAGTTAAGTAGTTTTCCATTATTTCTTCCAGATGATCCCTTCCTGCGATAGCCGCAATTAAGGGGTTCCCTAAAAACCGACTAAACGAAGAGCAGGAACTTGACGAGAGGAATAGTTTTACAAAAAAAAAAGTGCCGTCTTAATCTTTTATCATAGTCCAAATTTTTTTAACTCTTATTAATATAAGCATGGAAACCTTCCTCTCAGCTAGCTGGTGTTTAGTTTACTATAGATTAGTATCATTGACGTGTAGCAAGCGCCTGTAGATGAAGGATAAACTTAAGCCTAAGTTGGAGGAATGTTACCTTAAGGGCGGTACTTTGAAAATGGAGTTTGTCCAAGGCAAATTAAACGAGCTCGCGGACTATATTAGAAGTGTTAATCAGTCAGGCCTTGGCTTCTTTGCTTCCTAGCCCTATCATGTTCTGAAAGGCTCACCTCAGTCTCACCGCATCATCGATAAGATGCGAAGCTTTTAAGTCCAAAGCTTGACCCCTTGGCATGTCGCACGGCCTTCTAAATCTGTCCCTTTAAATGCATGACAAAATGTTAAAGGGAGCTCACCACTTAACCCTCTGAGATTGTGTCTCACTCTAAGAAATTAATCTTCCTCGGTCCACTCATTCATAGTATATCCCTCAGGGAGATCGAAATTTTCAATTATGCTGCTGCTAGAGTTATCTAGGGCGAACCTATCGTTCTCTCGACCCAAGCGTAGTCTTGGGGGAAGAGGCTTGTGAAAAGCAACCCGGTTCTCCAATGCAGCATGAATAGCTCTCAAGCCCATCCAATTCCTCTTCCCGAGCCTCATTGACGGTAGTCTTCACGCTCTCCAGTAGCAAAATCTGGTAATAGGAGTGGAGGGAATTTTGTGGGAGTGGGTTGAAAATACATGGCTTCGATTGAAGCATCGAACTTATCTCATGAGCTATACCCTCTGGAGGATCTCACCGAGCGTTAGCGATAGGTATTACCGATTGACGAGGAGGTTTTGCGCTGCTGCGCCACGCTCGACGAATGTTCCGTAGACGGTTCTAAAAACGTGACCTCACTAGCCACAGCATTGTAGTTGGTCCGGTTAAGCCTCGAAAGAGCGTCTGACTCGTGGGATAACATCGAACAAGGACACGAAATAGGTATCGCACGTGATATTAGTCCACGTGACCCTCCAGCACACATGTTTGAGACGGAAGATGCAAGAGTACTGGAATTGCATTCCGGCTCTGACAACCATGAGGAAATGTATAGGGGCTACGGGAGGATTCATGAGAAGAAGGTTCTGGTCCATTTGTATTCATTTTGTGAATTGCGATATTGAGCCGCTGCCGGAGAGGAAGGCTGGCGTCACTTACATCGCTGATAGTAATACCTGCTTACGGTTATGAGTGTGTCGCCTCGACTGACCACCACTGGAGTTAAGGTGGCATTGGGAACGGGTTGGACTCTTTGATTCTCTGAGATGTGGTTGAAGGGCCAACTTCGCGTCATGAAACGGGCTGCTCCGCTCGCCCCGGAACCGTACTCGACCTTCATATTAGAATTATAGGCGAGCAACTACGGTCTCTGGCCATGCACATCGGCCACAATAAATGCATGTTGACATAATAATAATATGGAATACTGTGACCTCGACTAACCTGGTACGAAGGAAGCCTAAAAGCCAACAGGGTTAATGAGAATTGTGTTCGATGCCGTATTCACTTGTATTTTGCGTTCAGCCACATTCGAGGTGATTCGACAAACCATTCCGCCGCGTCGCGTAGAGAATTGGTCCGCCTATTATTACCGTTTCTGGTTGAAATTTGGGACGTGCCTTGTGGCTTGCTCTTCGTGGGCCAGATGGGCATTTTAACCGCCCGCACAAGCATCACGAGGCTGGCCACCATGCAAGCAGAAACGAAAGCGGGAGATCGTCACTCGAATCTCGGCGTCCTGCAGGGGTTCAGGGACTGAATTGCTTTTTATCCATGTTCCCGTATCGTGGGATACGAGTTGGTTGACACCTAGGATCCCTCTCTTATCGAGCCATCCAGTCCCGCAGCCTAACTATTACTCCCGATTCACAGCCTTCCAACCCCCATCTCTCTGCCTACAGATGCTGCTGTAAACATATTTTCCACCCTCAGAATATGGCAATGGAACGCGCATTTTCCAACAAGTCACCTTATCTCCTACTCTTCTCAGTTGTCTTCCTCATCTTGCCAATCACAAATGCCCAAATCGGCACCATAACCCAAGACATTACCACCCTCGCTGCCTTTCCACTCCAAAAACCATGTGCGCGATCATGCTTCCTCACAGATGATTTTTGCCCAAACGACCTACTCGGAAGCAAAATAGGCTGCGCGACGCACACAGCATGCAGCTCTAATGGCTGGCAGGCCACGAACGACTGCTATTGTCGACCGGATTTGCAGAACCCAGCGCAGGCTTATTTGACAAGCTGTATCCAGAAGTCTTGTAAGGTTGGGGATTTCGCGATTGATGCGTCCACCGCGGGCAGTATCTACGCGCAGTATTGTGTTGAGAAGGGATATAGTCCTCAGGCACAGCCGGCGACAGTGCAGGCGACGACAACAGGATTGGGGGCTTCGAGTAGGGTGACGGCTGGGGGTGCCGGGGCTGGACCCACGGCTTCCTCGACGTCACAAAATTCGTCCTCGGGATCAGGAAAGCTCTCCATAACGACAATCATTGGGATAGTTGTAGGTGGTCTTGCGGGGCTAGTCTTCCTTTTGACCGTGCTCAAGATGTTGTGGAAGTGGTTCGGGTGCCAAGGAAGGAGCAAAGTTACCTACCCACAGCAGTTGCCTCCCCCCAACCCGCATCCCGTATATCCAATGAATCACTACTCTCAGCCATATTTTCCGCGGCCGAATACAGAGTCAGAAGTCACACCGGATGACTCTGTTTCAGTGGTCTCGGGGATGCCGAGACCAGCACCTACGCTTTTGTCTGCTGCACCGGGGAATCCGCGGGGATGGTAGATAGCTTGTGTGCCATTCTGTGAGCTGTCACGAGTAGGTAGGAGGTTGGAACAAGGATAGCAGTCCTGAATGTACTATACGAACCTTTCCCAACCGTTTTCACTCTTACTCCTGCACTCGAGGCGTCTTGGTTAAATATCCTAAATACTTCTCCGCTTGCGCCTCGTAACCCTCCATGTTTAGGTTCTGGAAGTTCCTAAGCCCCTCTAATCTTTCTGCCATTAGTATCTCAATTGCCCCCCTCCCCGGGTGACTCCTCGGATCCAATCCACTCATCCTTGCATGCAGATACACCTTCCACGCACTCACACACGCCAGTAAGAACTGAACCTGCGCGATCATGCACTCGTCCTGGCACTTCAGCACGTTATCTAGTGCCGCTTCGCCGTACTCGCGAGCTTGGTCTGCATGCTCTTTTCGTTCCGTACCTTCGCGAGGCGACGTCATGCTTAGTCGAAGTGAGGTCTCCATTAGCTTCTGGCATAGGCGTGCGACTTGCTTAGGCGAGGTTGAGGGGTCGCTTTTGAGGTAGTGTAGAGCTTTAGAGAAGTAGTGGCGTGCTTGAAGAAGGTCGTCCATTGTGATGTGGTCGGGAGGTACTTTGAGGTGCGAGTTTCCTAGGTTCACGAGTTCTGCTGAACAGGACATTAGCTTCATCCGACCTGGAAGACGTTTGTACGAGCTCCAACATTGAATAAACTTACAAATTTCTGATGTCGTAGCTCTTGACAAGGTTTGAGACACTCTTTGCCCACCGAGCGTTTGCTGCTTCAAGCTTCTGATAAACTCTGGGGTGGGTTTATCTGTGTATAAATAAGGCAGTCAGCAATGTGCATTCTAACCTTCCCCTTCGAGATTTGGTTCTATGAACTACGCGCCATACATACACTCCTTCATCCTTAAATTCTCTACACACACCCTCAACTTTCCTTTCGTAACCCGCTCCTTCAAATATGTAGACGTCGCCGCTCGAATCAGATCCTCCTCTTCGAACTCTGCTAACCTCACATTTTCAAGCCCATGGTCGACATTGAACCGAAAACAGCGGTCCTTCTCCACATGGTCCCGCCAGCGACCCAGGAACTGCTGATTGGTGCTCTCTGTCTCCGTCGCCTCCTTCTGCAGCGTTTCTAAAAGGTTCTTTAGCCCTTTGTCGGAAACACTCCGTATTCCGGGGTGCCCGGTGCCAATCGAGATAAAGCATTTGACTAGAGGCTGCAGATGGCCTGTCTCTTCGCACCAGAGATCGGAGGCCTCCTCTTCGACTTCCACGGCGGGGTTGTTCGCCCCGAGTGCGCCGTCAACGAACTTGCTGCCTTCGATGGCAACGTCGGAGAAGTAGGTTGGTGCGGCGGAGGTCGCGAGCGCGGCTTCAAGGATGGTGGGGCGGCGATCGGTGCCTGCGGGGATGCGATAACTGCGGAGGCGAGTTATCGTGTTCGTTTTTTGGAACTTTGTGCAGACGAAGCTGGACGTTGGCATCAAGTTAGCTAATATCGTTTGGCCATGATGAAGTGGACAACACTGTGGAGATGCTGGGCCGCTGGCACCCATCAATGTGCGACAAGCACGCCTCCGCAGATCATGATGAAATTGATAGGTGCTTACACTTTACATCGTGGCTTTACTCCATTCTCAAACTTCTCGTTGATGGAGATTCCCCGTCCTTTGAGGACCTGAGAAATTGCGTCTGCGAGTGCCTCTGAGGAAAACCGCGCCTTTACACCGCCAAAGATACTGATGAAAGAGCGGTTTTTCTTCTGCGCAAAAATGTGTTTCATCATTTTCGTATATGCTTCTATGCATTCCTCAACGGTCATTTCGAGACGGCCCAGCATGATGGCGATTAGACTGCGGCTACAGCATCAACAACCGTTCATACTCAAAATAGCCGGACCATTAAAGATACCGGACGTGTTCTGGAAGATGGGGACGCTCTTACCCCCCCGTGCTTGTTCCGCCGATCAAATCGAAAATCTCGCACGGTTTCCTAGGTTGCAGTCCTGCCTCTTCGCGCATATAGTTCAGCCGGTCCATGATGTTTTGCACAATGTATAGAGTCGAAAGGCCACGGACACCACCACCATCTAGGGACAAGAGGCAGTAGCCTGTATTGTCAAGGGTGTGGCCATCGCCGGTTTGGGTTCGCGACGGTGTTGTTGAGGGTATTAGGCTTTGCACGTTGACGCTATGCTCCGTCGCCATGCTTTCCGTTTGCCTCAAGACAGAGCAGTACGATGTGCTCGTGCAAAGTGGAAACCACGGATGCCTAGAAATATGTGGTCTCTCGCATTTCACGATGCTTCAGCTTCCTTTTGGTGGGGTTACTTTAGACCTCAGCTGCGGTCAAAACACGATTTCGGCTACTGCCGCATTACGCGAGGTTGCAGCTCGGTCATACACGCTAAAATCTCGCTTGTCGGCTAAATTTCGGCCAATGTATCCAAAAGCTCGCGCGACACGGGAAAACTTCCTCTAAACAGCACCCACCACTACGTCAGGTCGCAGCCTTAAAACTCTCTAAAAACTCTCTAAATTAAGCGCTATTTCTATTTAAATAGAATCCTTAAACCCCTACAGCAGCCTAAGTACTTACGTAAGTCCTATTCCCCTTATTATTTAGCTCACTTACTTTTAGGTGGCGCCCTACTAAAAAGTGAGAGCCTGGATATTGTATCCTAATTATATCTACAGCAATCCTACATTAATTATTGTACACTCTATTATTTGCTGTGTTGTGTTCTAGATTAGGTGCAAAAGACAGTATATGTAAGTACATTTAGAATATAATTCCCTAATTTAAGTTTATACTTAATATTATCTAAGATAGTGTCTAGGACAAAGAGATGTAACTTTTTATTAAAAGTAAAAGAAGTAGTGTAGCTGCTTAAGTTATCTAAGGCTTTAATCCTTTATATGCTAAGTGTTAGTGCTAGGTTAATAATTATAAAGTAAGTAAAAATTAACTTTAGATATAATTCTTACTTTAAGTAATGTATTTTAATTATATTTAGCACTTTATCTTTAGTTATTCTAGTCTACTTAAGCATGTTTGTAAAGCACATGCCTTGCTAATTATTAGAAATTAAGCTAAAGAACAGAAAAAGGCAGCTAAACTTTAGATTATTAAAAGTATACATTCTAAATATAATTTCTAAATTTTAGTTATGCATTCTAATTATATCTAGATATGTATAAGGCAATTATAGAGACTATTTAACAGGCAGTAGAGAATAGTAACAAGGATGCTAGGCTTACTTTGTGTTAAGATTCTATACATTTTACTACTTATAAGATATATTACTAAAATAGCACTAATTATATTTAGCTGCTAAAAACTTAGAAAAAGATCTACATAAATGCCTGTGTAAAGAAAAAGCAAGTTGCTGCTAAAAAGAAGGCAGTTAAAGCAGCTAAAGGTAGTATAACTAAGGTAAGATACTTTCTAAATACATTTTTTAAATTATATTTTAATTATATCTAGCATAAAAAAAAGATTAACTTAGAGGATAATAACTATAATCTAAATAAGGACATAAAAGTTAAAGATAGTAAAGTAAGTTAGTTTTAAATATAATTTTTAGATTTATATCTTAAATGTATCTACACTTACCTTTTTAGGCGTTTAACTATAAGGTTAGCTGTGTTATTTGCTATAATAATTTTAAAGTAAGTATTATTTAAATATTATATATAAAATATATTTAAAAGTCTTAGTTTTCTAACAACCTATTTATAATCTATGTTGCTAAAAGTGTAAAGATGCCTATAATTCTAGGCAAAACCTTTAAGGTATATAAATATATTTTAGATACATTACTTAAGTTTAAATACTAATTATATCCTAGTTACCTAATATCTTAGCCCTACTTTGCATTATTTCTGTCTATAATAATAGTTATAAATCTCTGTGCGTAAACTACAGTAAGGTGACTAACACGCGTAGGGCTTATAAGTGTAAGTGTTTTTTATTTAAGATATAATTCTCTAAATTTTAGGTTATGTATTCTAATTGTATCTAGAATGCACTTTTAATAGGGCCTGTGCTAGCTATAACTACTTCCCTAAGTAGAATGTACCTGCTAACTAGTATACAGGCCTAACTTACAAGGGTATCCTGCGTAGGCACATTTAAGCAGATAAGAAGTAGTTTTAGATATAATTACTAGATATACATAAAAAAAGCTATAAAAATTTAATTTAGATGCATTACTTAGAGTTTCTTTTTTAAGCAGCTTAAGCTACTTTTTAAAAATAAGAATTTTATTTAGATATAATCTAGAGGATTTTTTAAGCAGCTAAGGCTGCTTTTATAAAAAGTAGATTTATTATAAATATAATACCCTTATATTAACTTAAGCATTTTATTAGAATATAATTTTAGAGCTAATAGCTTTCTCTAACCTAGAAAGCAATTTAAATATAATACTTTGTTTTTAATGTTTAGAAAGTAAACTACTTAAAAGCTAAAATTAATATAATATTAAAACTAATTTATATTACTTAATGTCTTAAAAGTATTTTTTAAAGGTCTTAAAAGTAGTTATTTATATAGTTAATGTTTACTTAACTACTTTATCTTTAAATCTAATAATAATTATGTTAAGAATAATACTAATAAGTATAAAATAAAAAGCGTAGGTGTATATTATAATGCTAAACATAATTAAAAATATATTATAGATGCGTTTATAATCTATCTAGCTACTTATATCTACTTTTATTATCTACATCTAAGTTCTTTATAGCTAAGCCTATTACTAAATAACACTTTTTATATTAGATTTTAAAAGCTAGGAGCTTTATTTAGTGTTTTTTAAGCTTAAACTACTATATATCCTATTTATCTACTATAGTTAGTAGCCTTAGAAGTAACCTTTACAACAAGATGTAGCGTAGCTTTAAAGGTAAACTAGTTAAGCTAGTAATAAAGTTAGCAATGCATTTAAAATATAATTTAGTTATATTCTACTGCTTCTCTAGAGAAGGGACACATAGAGATAGGGTAGATCTAGAGTAAGTAAGCAATGTATCTAATATGTATCTAATATGTATCTAAACATACCTTATTAATTTTAGAACGCAAGACAGCAACTTAGCAGATAAGACAGACACTCTATAAGACTTAATTAGTGCCTAAGAGCTTTATTTAGCTAGCTAACTATAGCAAGCACTACTAGGTATATTACTGCTTAAGGTAGCAGTAAACAGCACCTAGTTCTTACCTTTCTTTATAAAATTAATTTCTTCTATTTCTATAATCCCTTACACTGCAACACGCTCTAGAATGTATTAGGAATTAATTTTAAATACATTTTAAAAGCTTACTTACTTTTATAAAGCATATGCTCCTTATACTGCTTATTTATTAAGTAATTATAGTAGGTGTAGGATACACCTTTGTCCTAGGCAGTACACTCCTCTATAATACGTTAATCTATAGACTAGGCCCTAATTAGAATGTAATTAGTATGTATTCTAAATTAAATTAGAATGTAATAACAAGTAGAACATACTTAAAAACTATAAGCAGGAGATGCTGCTAGGTTCTATAAGTATAAGACACATTTACTGTCTACTTAACACTATTAGTGTGCAGGTGTTGTTAAAGAAAGTTAGAAGTAAGAATATTAGAAAGATTTAGATTTAATCTAGCAGTAATTATAAGGTGTTTTTTATAGTAGGCCTACTGCTAGATTAAATTACATTTGTTCTTTAGAATATAATTAGCAACATTATAAAATGCATAATAAATAAATTCTTAAAACATACTAATTAGTAGATCTAAGATCTAGTAATATTTAGTAGCTAATGCCTTTAGTATAGTAACTATTTAGGCATAAACAGAGTAGCAAGTCTATCTAGGCCTAGCAGCTCTCTTAATACTACGCCTAAAGTAGACGCAGCAGAAGATAAAAAGTTGCCTTGCTTACTACCTTTAATTACAGCTGTACAGATTAATAGACTAAAGCTAATGCGCAATACCTGCATATAATTAGTATCTATTCTTATTAGTTTTAGCATAATATAGAATGCATCTTATATCTACTTACTAGCTAGTTGCTTTCTATTTATATTAGCAACTAAGGCTATTAAGCCTTTGCTATGTAAGTATTAAAAGCAGAGTTGTTTATTTATTATCTTAAAGACAAGCTTATTAATACGCGCTATTATATGCTAATAAGTAACACGCCTAGCGCTATTAGTAATAATACAAAAATATAGAACATCTAGATACATTAATAATATATCTAAAATGTATATAGATCTATAACTTACTTTTCTTGTACTTCTTACTTTATAATACAGCAATAATCTTATTAAAGGCAGTGTTATAGATACATTTAAAAGACATATTAATCTTAAAGGACTCTTATTAGAGTAAAAGCTTAATCTACTACTTATAGTAACAAATAATTATAACTCTATTAGTATTATTATAGTAGCTTTAGATATAGCGCTAGATATATTAGGAATGCATTTTAAATGTATTTATAAAATATACTTACCTCTTCTACTAGCAAAAAACGCTGCTAATAATACTTAGCTAGTACACTATAAGTAGTTTTACCTTAGGGATAGGCAAGTAGGCGTTCTTAGTATAGAAGACACCTAATTTAATTCTTATTTACAAAAGACTAGTAAATCTAAGGAAAAGTAGCTATATAGTAGTTATTACAAAATTAATAAAGCATTAGGCTTTATAAGAACTAGGCTGTAGCAGTAGGTTTAGTTCTAAATACATTTTAAATACATATAAAATGTTTTTACTTACTAAGCGTTATGTTAGGTGTAACGCAGTTAGCTATTACTTTAACTAAATAATTAACAACATCCTCTAGAGCACAACTAGAAGAAGGAGGGCAACTAATATGTGTTTTAAATAAAACAAATATTGCAATTAGCTTGTTAATCTAGTTATTAGAGACAATAAGGTAGAAACAGAGGGCACAGCTGTTATATTAGACTATGTTTCCTTAGCCTTGTAGATAGTTAATACCTAGATACATTAAAAGTTAATTTAGAATAGATATATAGCTGTTCTTTAAATAGACTTACTGCACATTTAGCGCTTTAAGATGCTTGGCTTAACAACACTATAGTATTTAGGTGCCTCTTAAGGTACCTTAACACTACGCACTAACCTTTCTAAAAAAGGCTTATTAAAGGTATTAAGCAGAAGCTACTTATAAAAGTGCTTACTACGCTTTTTTAGAGCTGCGCAATAGTTCTTATAGGCTAAGTAGAGAGTTAATCTGCTATTTAGGTCCTAGATATATTAGAAACCTATGCTAAATGTAATAAAAGCGTTATAAGAATGTATTTAAAAGTAGGCTTACTAGAAATTTTAGCTGCTTAATTATAAGCTTACAGCTCTCTACCTATAAATTATAGGCTTTATGTATGTTAAACCTAGTCTATGCCCCCTAGAAAATTACTATAGATTTACGCCTCTTTAAATCTGTTTCTAATATATTATTAATTATACAGAGCTTTGCGTAACAAGCCTACATTAAATCTAAAATCTATTTATATTACATGTTAGATAGGTCTAGATGTAGGTATTTGCAGCCACAGAATCCTGTGCACTAATATTTAGCACAGAGGGCATTACACCTAAGGTAGGGTGAGTAGACTAGGCGGAACAGTAAGACAACTTAGCACAAGAATTAGTAACTCTAATATAATAATAATATATTAGTAATAAATTTTTAAAGTATTCTTAGAAAATTAGCTGCTGTAAGTACCTTTAACATTAATATAGCTTACTGCTAAGTAGAGTTATTATAATTAAGTACATAAGCGTACTTATCTAGATGTGTATAGGGGTATTTAGGTAGGATCTAGCCACTGTCTATCTTATAGGCAACAATAGGGTTAACACTCTTAGTAAGTGCTAGCTATACATTATCTTTCTTTTATAATACACTTAAAGTATATTTTAAATAAATAATAAATGTATCTTAAAGCTTACTTACTTATACATTAGGGCCTATAAGCTTAACCTTTAGTAGGGGATAGCTACGCTTTTTAGCAAGGGCCTTATCCTTATCTTTAATAATAAGGTCCTGTGTATTAATAGTAAGATTGTTAACTAAGGTTTAAGCTTGCTTAACTAGGCAGTAGTATTGCTAGATAACTTCTGTAAAAGAAGGCATAGGAGAAGGTATAGTATTAGAAGACATTAAAGATACAAATTGTTAAGTTTCTAGATATAAAAAGGCTTATTACAATTATATTCTAGAATGCGCTAGATATGCTTTTAATTTATAATTAAAATGTACCTACACTGCTATTTGCGTCCTTTGCTTCTATTACAGGGCTATTACTTTTTGTATACTAGCTTTGTAGCTAAAAGATAACCTTGCATATATAAAAGTTAAGCTAGACATAAAAAAGTTAAGCTAGATATAAAAAAGTTAAAAGCTAACATAACACTTTCTGCTTTTAATTTCTAACGCTTGGCTGCTTAAGCGAGTTTTTAGCGTGTATGAACAAACTGTACGCACGAGCGAGACCACTTTGCAACCTGATCTCTATTGGTCGCGCTATTGTTCATTCTCGGATTTGTTGCGCTGGATTTGTTAATGGATCCCCCTACGACCTCGATATTTCCAGAAATTACATTGATGTCGACCTTATTTGTCGCCCGGGTTACCCCTGTCAACCCCTCCTTTGCGATATAGACGGATCCTCGACAATCGACTTTATGGCTCCAGCCTCTGCCCTAAATCCACTTCCCCCTAAGAATCCACGCGTCATGCTATGCTCGTCCGCAACTATCGGTTGCTCTTCACTACTGTGGTTGCTTCTACGTGCGTCAGCTCATACATTTTCTTCAGTCACTACATACGATTAAGCTGGGGGACTTCCAAAGACCTGAAACCCCTCCCACAATCTGAAATAAGATTCTACTATAATAATCCATTCATTTTGTGCTGCTATAGTTGGGCAACTCAAACGTTGAAACCAGGCCATGATGACGTTTTCCTTCCGAATTCGCTTCGGGGCATTCGAATCCAAATTAGCCTTGGTTGCCTCCGAGATGGTCACCATCATCATTCCCATTTATTGATCACTGAGAAAGGTCGCACTATCGGACCTTTTGCTCGGTGTGTCAACATAGCATTTCAGAGGTTCGTGAGAATAGAAGACCTAGGCCTGTCGATATCTCTCAAATTATTTAGGAGGATGGTGGGAGAGCAGCACGATCAGTCGACTTCGGTACTTATGCGTGAATGCTAGTTAAACCCGCTATACCTCGGCGTTTCCGCTCGGCTAGGGGCAGTTTTAGAAATGGTGGACTTGGTAATTGGTCAGAAACGTCTAAGAAGTCAAGTATATGGATTAAACAAGCCCGTAAACAATCAACAACATCCATTGATGTTTTTGTAGTCCATTGTCAAAAAAATTATAAATCGAAAGGAAGGTTAGCCTACTTAGACCCCTAACGGACAATTCTATCTTACTTGAGGTCCCGTATTACCTCTATTCATCACGCAATCACGTGACTAATAAAGCTATTAGGGCATCTTCTTCAGGAACCTACCCAGCCACACTCGGGTCCCTGGTACCGCTTTGATATTCTCATTACAGCAACATGATCCTCCACCACGCCGTTAGGGTCTGAACTTGTCGAGGCGAAAGAAGTTGGACATTTCGCTACAGTTTTTAAGTTGGTGCACGGTGAATGGTCCTCCTCCTCCCCCATTCTCTTCCCGACAGTGAACGCCAAAAGGCATACAGCACATCCTCCATAGACCGACTCTATTATATCATACTGTTTTAACGCAAGGCCGGAAAAAGGTACTACATGACCTTAATGTCCATCTGGAGTGAATGAAAATGGGCTTGTGGATTCGTAGCGGCTTCAGCCCCGAATGTCCCGCTTTTTACTAACAAGTGCAAGCGGGTCATGAGGCAATACTGGATTGCGACTAAGAGAAGGACGGGAGGGTCTGACAGTTGTGATATAGTGCGAGAACTAGTCCAGTAGGCTAACGATAGTAATGAAGGTTTGACGAAGGATCAGAGTAGGACTTTAGGGAGCGATGTCCAGATTCGCTAGGACGCAATGATAGTTATATGTGTCTTCTCCTAGGGTCAGAATAAAGTAGGGGCGTCCAAAAAACATTCGCCTTAACTTGCTGCTTTCCTTCTGTACATTCCTTCACATCAAAATGAGCGCTCTTGAAGGTCGAGGGTCAGAAAGACTGCGCAACTGAATCGTAACCGACTCTTGTCTAGTTCGCCTCAATAATACGTGCCTGGGTAACTCTGAGAGCGGGAAAATATCCTTTCTGAGGGTATCCCGAAGATCTATAGGCATGCCCCATGCCGGATTGCCATCCCATATCGCGAAAAGTGCAGAATCCCATGAAAGACAAACTCAATATGCTCTCGCACAGAAGACACGGTTTCCTGCTACATCCAACGTACTCAAGTCCCGTGTATAATTCGGTATTGTGTTCATAGTGAAGCAGAAGCTGTACTTCGACATGTGCGCTAAAATATATTTTAGCAAGCCTACGCGAAGTCTACAGCCCTCTCTCTTAAGTGCTTACAAGTAGATATTAGAGATGGGCGACCGAGAGATGATTCCTAGATCTCAGAAACGTGGAGCCTTTTGAGATAAAACATTTAGAGCTTGGGAAATGCTATTTGGCCGCGACATGTGGTGAAAAACTTGCCAGAGGTTATACGTGGTACGCCGGATCGGCTCCGGATGAGCGATATCGTGGCTGAGATGTACCGGCTGAACGATCGTCTAAATCTTCAGATGAATCGAATCTAGGGTACACAGAAGCACTCGGAGGTCCGTTATAGAGTGGAGTGCTGCCCAGAGCTCCTGAAAGTTCTCCTTCAAGCGGTGTGGATTATTCTCGATAATACACTGCTGAAAATTGGCCTGAAGCTATTCCGACTGTAATTAGGAATTGTAAGAAAGCAGATAGCAATTTACGAACCACGAAAATCCTCTAGCCACGCTGCCAAAATATTTCTCTCGTAGACCATCGTTAAAGGCAGTGAGAATGACGTTAAAATCGCTTTCCGCCTCGATACGCTATGTATCCTGCTGTCATACGAATCTTCGTCCGTCGTCCGTTCGTTGTAGTCTCGAGGTTTTGTTAACATAGGCGAAATTTTCCTTGGACCCAGGTCTTAACATGTTTGGTAAAAAGGTAAGACCCACCATGCCGCCGATATGCTTCGAGAGCAGAAAATAAGGGTCTTACCTGCTGCCTAGTGGCGCGGTCGCACGTTCCATGGCTTGTTTTGATTAGATAGTTTGACGTTAGATGTAAGCTCCAGAGGACGAGAGAGGTATAAATATCACAGGGCGAAAGCTAACTCGCCCCCAGTATTCTCACTGCCACTTTACCTCGACCCTTCATTATCCGACCACACGTCCCATCCTCAAATATTCTATATCCTGCCGCAGCTGACCAATCAAAGAAACATGTAGTAACACAAGGCAAAGAATAAGAGGTTTACTGGTACACCGCGAGGCCACTTTCAATACCCGCTTTCGTGAAGATCGCCGTTTACGAACCATTATTACATATGCCATGTTTCCCTTCCGTCTAATTGTTATTCTTCAAGACACGACCGGTTAAAATGGATGGATCACAAAATCGATAAACACTGAGATCAAGATTCGTATATACTTATCGCCCGCGTTGAGCGTTTTGCTCATTCACATCACCCTTCCCACTCAGATAAGTTCCCGGAGTCACGTGCTTTGCTCCTTCCTCTTTCGCGCCTACAATTTCACTTCTATTACTCCTTGGCCACTTTAACTCTGCTGTTTTTCACCCTCTCGGACCAGCGACTAAGCTTGCAGGCCCAGATATGACTCCGGTGCTCAGGCTTTGGCGATGCCCAGAGGTATATTCTGGGAATAGTCAAGGTTGGGCATTGGATACTTGCTGTGTGTTTCTGCATGGCTTCCTTTCGTCGCCATTGTCACTACTCCAGTCTTCCTTTCTACTCCTCTAAATCCTGCTGGGTTGTCCTTTATTCCTTCTCTTTAGTCGAGATTCACCGTTTTTCTTGTTCATCATACCCCTGCACCCTGCCGCCTTCTCTTCTGCCGCACCCCCAAAGTTCGTACTAGGTTAACCACGAAAAGAATTAAGAAGAGGAAAATGATCGCCGATATTGCCGACAGAGGCGCTAGGATCGCAAAAATGGAAAAGACATACGACGCCATACTGAAGCCATAGTTATCCGCGAGCAAGTTCGTACTCAGGCCCACCTGCATGGCTGAAAGCACGATGGTCGTGTACGCAAAGAGCGTGATTAGCGAGTTTACGTTGTCACGAATGAACGCGCCGTATGTCGTGCATCCGCTCAAGTACCCTCGGGGCGAGCCCAGAAGCAGACGGTAGATCCAGTTGAGACGGCCTAAACGGAGTTCACCGTAGTAGAAACGTGGGTTGACGGGCACGTGAGGTTCTAAGTGCGAGAGGCTGGCCGGATCCGAGAAGTATGAATTCGCTTCCGACGACGTGAAAACAACCTCCTCGACTAAGGACAACCATCCCGGCCACGTGAGTTCGGATGGAAGCAGGCCGAGACTGACGGCTAGATTAAAGTCAACCTCTCGTTCTATCAACGCGACGTATGTCAGTAAAAACCCTAGCGCGGTTTGGTACAGATGGTAGTGGGGACAAATATCGGATTGCCAGAAACGGGCGGAGAGAAGAAATCGCGGCAAAGGCTTGATGAAAACTTGGGTTGGCGACCAGACGAGGTGAAGATCCAGTTGTTCGGCGACGATAATATCTCGACCTTTCAGGCGTTGCATATGCAGTGGTCGAGGAGGTGATGGGAGACCGACAATCCAAAGCCAGTTGTGGACACGGTTCAGCCTTTTAAGATCCAACTCGGACTTAAGATAGGCAAGTACATCAGCGTTGACGAGACGGACGACGTATCGGTCTCGATACGTTGCAGGAAGAAGCGGGATCAGCAGCTCTGCTCCATCTTGCCTTGAGACACTCCTCAAAAGCTCTGTCCGGAAGGGAGGTTGTAGTGAAAGGTCTTTCTTCGGCTGGTGAGTTGGTGGCTTTCTCGTGATGCTAAAGATAGCTTACCTCGGTTGAATCCAACAACATCATTGTTATCCTTCAACTGATGTCACACAAAGGGCGCTTTCATCAAGAGAACGTAGGGTAGACGAACGAGGATGAAGTCGCAAAGAGTGAGGTTTTTGGAGATGGAATATTAGTGGAGGTGAGTAGGCAGAAAACTAGAGCGGGGCGCGTCCCGCACAAGTCTCATCTTGGTCCGTACTAAGCTCATTCTGGCGATCGGGTCATCCGCATTGGTTTGCTGACACACGGTGATCCTTTTTCCACTCCGGGTTTCAGCCCCCAATCGACATTTCGCCCCGAATCCTCAGTTCGAGAAAGGAGAGAGCCTCGCGCCCTCGAAAACTGCCTTGAGATGATTCACAGCTCATTTCCATTATGCGCTCAGACAGACGATTGCTCACCTCAATGTGGACATCTTGAAATTTCGCCCGGAACGAAATTGCGACAAGAGACGGCGAGATGGCTGATGCCATCAAGAAACTAAAGCCCTCGAAGCTTGATGCAGTTGTAAGCTGGCCGATGCATCGTCATTGGAATATTTCATACTAAAGCAATTGCGGTGTTTAGCACATTAACCCAGGGCTACAAGTGCTCTATCCAAATCCAGATGAGCCATCAAAGCCGTCAAACAAATTCGCGTTTGAGTATGTATCATCAGGTCCCCTATTGTTCCTTGTTTGCGACAGATACTAACCAAAGTCAAGCACTGCGGCAGTTGCTCGTAAACAATCGAGCATATCATGCCATCATGGCAACCCTTGGCAAGGGGTTTTCTGACCTGGACGCGACGGTGAAAGGTACCCACCGTGGCCCCAGGGCTACCCAGACCTCGTGGATTGTCGATGTGAATGACTACACGACATAGAGAGACGAACAAGCCTCTCCATTCCTTTGGATCCACGACTAAGCTGATACCGGTCAAGGGCCAATCGCTTCCTCTGTAATCGACGACTTAATTAAACTAGACCAGACAGCAGGGGGCAATTATCACATCATTTTTCTGTGACCAAGGCGACGAGCGTCGGCGGTCACTTCGAGTCTTGCTCAAAATTGTCATTCAACAGGTCATCGATGTGAGCCAGAATCTGGCCGTTTATCTCCTCACGGATTCGAAGAAGGGAGGGAAAGCAGCAACGCAAGAGCTAGATATTGAGTCCCTTTCCAAAGTCCCCACTTTGTGGGATGCGCTTCAAGCCATGGCCAGAGATCTTCCTTCTGGGTGGTTATACATCGTCGTGTATGGTCTTGAGCGGCTTTCCAAGGAATCGATGGCTAAGTTCTTTGAGCTCCTCAAATCTCTCAATTCAGGTGATGATGCATCTGATGACGCGCCTATCAAATGGCTCTTTCTCAGTCGATCAGGACACCCCGAAATCGAGAAAGCATTGAGGTCGAAAGCGCTTGAGATTAACATCGACGACTCCGAGAACGCTGCCCACCTCAGTGATGCCTTACGAGCTGACATCTCCGCGAGAATTAATGAGCTTGGGCTTCCGGCTCCATTGGATTACTTCTCCAAACGACAAATCCACTCCCGCGCCGAATATAATTCCATCTATGTGAGCCTGGTGATACAGGAACTGAAGAATGTTCAAGAGACTGGCATGACGTCTACCGAGATCCGCGCCTTGTTAGAGTCCTTCCCATATGGTTTAACGGAAATGTTCGAGCATATCCGAAAGAGAGTACGTACACACTGACAGTTTTGACCCTAGTACATTGGCGTGAGGGTATAGCTAACAAGAAAGGTCCTACAACCGGGTTCTGGGGGCATTGACTACACGAAAGAAATCCTATGCTATCTCATTCTTGCTCTACGTGCTCCAGCGATGCGAGAATTGGCCATTATGGCGGACCTTCCTGCAGAGGATCGCGATGACCTGGAAAGACTGAAAGGCTACATTCGACAATGCGGTGCATTCGTTACCTTGCGTGGGAGCGAGCTTAATGAAAACAATGCCGTACAATGTGTGGGCTTCGCGGCGAAGGAACATTTGGAAAAATTTGCGAAAAATGATCTAGCTCTTGATCTAGCAGACATGCAAAAAAGGAATCATTGCGCTTCGTTGCTTAGAATATATATACGCTATCATGGAGTCATACGAGGCAAATGAAGCAGCGAGACGTGCTAAAGAAGAGGAGAGGGAGGAAGAAGAGGTAAGAAGCGAAGCTGGCGATCAAGAGGTACTCCCTGTCGATACCGATGCACCTCCACAAAATGAACCCCTCTCTCCGCTACCACCCCCATCTGAGGCTCCTTCAGGAACAACGCAAGATCGTGATGAGCCTCGCGATGAGAGTAGTTCACTACCGCCAGACAGAGATCAGCCCCCGGACGAAAACCCGGTTCTTAGTCCAAAGGACGCTCTACAGTACCCTATTCATTACTGGATCGAACATGCTAAGCGTGCGCCAGAAGATGTCATCGAAGAGTTTTGTACGAGTCACAGGCAGTCGACGCAGTATGGTGAGAGTCAGGGCAGTCAAAACAGTTTGGGATATCAGCCGTATAGTACCCCGAACTCGTCATATGGATCGGGGTTTAAGGGGCAGTAGGGACAGGGGGGTTGGAAGTAAGGCGTTGGGTGAACATTGCGCTAGGGGAGTGGATGGAAGGGTTGTAGTTGGTTTATTTCATCTCATCTAAAATTTGCTTCTGAAAATTCCATTGTCCCTCATTAAAAAGGAAAGGGTTTTAGCTCATACTCAGGTGAATACTCAGAATCTACAGAAGCGAGATGGACGAGCAGGTTGCTGAAATAGTTCATGCACGGTAATGCTTTTGCTGCTGGGGCCTTTTTGCGATAAGTGTGGATTTACAGCTTCAAGATACGCGAATTTGACATAGCTATCATCACTACGATTACAATTTTCTCATGGCCTTCCTATCATTCCTACATAACCCTTCCCAACTCCTAAAAACCGGCCAAACAACCAACCCCACCACAACCACAAACAACGAATCCCAAATCAACTCGACCTCAAGCGAGTCGTCACAGAGTGCGAAACCGCCTTTCTCCACACAAACCACAATCTCTTCGGCTACTTGCTCCTCTGATGGCTGCTTTTTCTTCAGCACTTCACTAGATCCGGTTGTGCTTTCGAGAGATTTTTGTGAGGGTGGATTTGCGCTTTCGTTCCGGAATGAAGGAGTCCGAGATGAATGTTGAGGTGAAAGCGACGTGCGTGGTAGGCTGAGGGGGGAATTGAGAAACGTAGGGCTTCGAGGCAGAGGTTGTCTGCGAGGTATAGACAGTGAGTATGGATTACGTGAGATATGCGGCTGTGAAGAAGTTATTCCCCATATATGTCTCCAATTTTGCAGCCTCGATGTTAGTTAGGAATTCGCATTCATTCAGGCATCAGCCGGCTAGGAGATTCACTTTCCTATATCCTTCGTAATTCTGAGTTTCTTTGACAGGAAGTAGAACATCAGGCCTGAATCAGGCAACAATTCATTCGGCCCAACTGGAAAAAAGGTCGCTGGTTTCCAGCATATATCAAGCTCCCAAATATATTAAAGCGGCGAGGCCATTTCGGCGTCTTATCGGACGAAGCTCGATACGCATCCAAGCCCCAGCCACCAAGTAGGTTTCACAAAAGGGGCGAAAGGCCGTGACTGCTTGATTATACCAAAGAACTCTCTCCCTAGCATTTCCATTCGAGTGGTACCCTTTATGTCGATAATTATGAGATTCGTGACCCTGAAGGATTCCTGTGCGACATCGCAGAATCCTTCTAATGTGAAGTCCTCCTGACTTGGGGCTGACTGTCAGCTTACTTCCCCGTACAGCTACAGGTGAATGATGGTAGGCTTTGATGTGGTGAGCACTATGCTACAATTATTTTTTTCTATTACATCTTATGTCTAATCACAAATTGCTCATACTTCGTTTAATATATTAGCACACAACCCTTCTTCATCTATTAATGATATCTACACATATGGCGTGAAGTAGAGCCGAGCCAGAACTCTAGCATATTTACTCGGATTAGAAGAATGGGATATTCCCAGATTAACACAATGATTGTATCTGTAGTTTCGCAAGAAGACGGTTGACGTACAGGCATGAAAGCCCTACTGCATGTTTGAATTTGAAGGCATATATCACCACCGTCTTGAAGCTCTCCCCAATATAAAGTTTGACGCCTCAATCCATTCTAATCAAGTACCGTAGTAGGCATGAGTGGATATAACTCAGATTAGAAATCCTAAATGACGTATTGAACCTGCGGATTCAGGCTTGAGGTCTCGGATTTCTTGGATTAATTAGCATCTTGACTCCTCCAGTTTTTCTGATTCCTCTGATTAATCCAATAACTCTAATTCCACTGACTCTTGCTTAATTTTGGGTAGCACTTAATACTAATGCGTTACTTGACTCAGAGTCCCGCATTAAAAAGTCCTTAGCGCCATATGTGAGAAGAAGTTCCTCAATTCTCGGACGTTGCGCCGTTCGCTCTTGTTTAATCCTACCATTTGTGACTTTGTCCAAGTGATCTAGCGCGAAAGGGGAGTGACGGATGATGTGCAGCGGACTGGCCTGACCCCATCTATTATCCAAGTGAGGGAAGTATTTTCCATCTATATCTCCGATAGCGTTGGAATTCACGCCCTTCTTAAGAAGCCATTCTGTGCCACTGTAGTCCCACCGGAGAACTGCGATTTGTAGGGGAGTAATCCGGACCCCAGAAGTATTGAATTGAGCACCTTTCTCTAGAAGAAAGTCTAGCAGGCAGCTAGAGCGTAATAGGGGCGAGTTCCAGCAAACGTGTGTACACTCGTGTGCAGAAATGAACAACACGAATGCCGACACAGGCTCAAGCCGTGAGCATGCATTTAACAGCAAACGATCAAATTCGCTTGGAAGATCCTCCAGATAACTAAACGCCTCTGCAAGGGTCCCGAAAAAGTCGTTATCATCCATTCTCCATGTGAGTGTGGCGCAAAGCATCTCTTCGGTATCTCGATCCTCTAAGTATCGGTTCTCGACCTTATGGAAATCATAAAGGATTGATTTGGCCCATGCTAGGCAACGTTGAGCGGCTAGACAATCCGGACTCCTTTCCCAGGTCACAAATAAAATATGGGCGGTTTCATAGTCTACTAAGTCCTCAATAGCCGCCTCATAACAGTCATGATTAGGACTATTGAGAACCTTTAGGTAGAGATTCCACAGCTCCTGGTCTTCAACAATCATGGTTTCCCACACCTTTGGGATTTGTTTGGCGACTTCTCGAGAATAACATCCAAGATTGTGAAATAAAAGGCCGGGAGGCTCCTCTAAATCGAGAGCCGCACATATTTCTAGTGTGGCCCTTATAAATTCGTAGATGCCCTTCTCTTCAGAAAAGGCAAAATATTCAACGGCACTATCTAGGATCCGGGCGGAACAAAGGAATTCTAGCACTGTATAATGCGCTAGGGATATTGCCTGGAACACATTGTCGTTTTCGGAAGCATCGTTATTTTCAGAATCCTTGTCGCTTCCGGCATCAAAGGGGACCGGAAAGGTCCTAATAAGACATCCACATATGTCCTGAAGTGATATTAAATCGTGGCTGTAACTCTCTGGAGTTGTATCATAGTCTGATGTTGGAAATATTGCCTTAGAAAGGCATTATGCAGGTATACCCGTTCGAAAATACAATTTCTCGTGGGCACAAATCCAAGTGAGCGCCTTTCTAGCAATGGCCCAGTCGTCATTAGGAATATTAAGAAGGATTCGTTCATATGTTTCGTCTAGAGTCTCTGGTAGTTCGGTGATAGCCTTTCGGAGGTCTGCTTCGGTTCTCTTTCGTTGCAGCACGTGCAATTGACAGGCGGCCCACCGAAACCTAAGAAAAGTGTAAGCGTAAGTCGCAGTAAGCCAAAAACGGATATCGCATGAAGGCGAAATAAGTAAACATACATTCCCTTCGCGCCATTGACTAAAGCCTCTGTCATTTCAGGAAAGATTCTTGACCAGCGTGCAAATTTTTTATTCGCCCGGAGTTCGGAGGCTACGTACATTCTGATATCCTCATCTACAAGCGGGTTAGACATTGAAAGTGGCTCAGAGATAGGCCTAAATGTGCTCTCAATATCAAGATAATTTCGGCTAGTCGCTAGTATCCGTAACCTGGCAAAGGTGGGGTCGGCAACAAAAGATGCCAGAGCTTGGAGCAGGTCATCTCTCGTGTTGCATTCATCGACTGCATCGATAATGATATAGACCTGGCCTATTTTTTTCAGACCTGACTCTATTCCTTGTTTGAGTTGCAAGATTATCGGCAACGCATTTATTTGGTAAAGCTCCCATAGATCCTCGGGGACACACTTGAGCTTCCGGCACAGCTGACTGACAATCCAACTCAAGAATGCTAAAGTCTGGTCTTCGGTGTGTCGGTAGGAGCAGTAGTAGTAGAGACATGTGCTCTCGATCTGGGAAGAGGGGCAGTGCTGTATAGTCTGCTCGATGATGTATGATGCAAGGATAGTTTTACCGGCACCTGGGATCCCATAAACCCACAAAAACCGATTGGAGCCAGCTAACCAGTTTTTCCACTCGACCGACCGAAGAATCCAGCGGCATGTGGCTTCATCGCGAAGTTTGATAGCGTTGTTATGGTCTAGTGTCGGATTCGTACGCTCAATCCAGTTACACACATCTCTTTGCCTAACATCTAACGAAGTCAGTTGCAAATGTTGAAATCTGGAACCTAGAGCGCAACGGAAACATTACCTGTTAGGCCGTCCTGAAGTTTTCCAATGCTAAACTTTAGGTCTTTAACGTCGCGACTACGTCTTAGTCAGAATGTAAACAATGTGGGTACGAGGTAGTTATTGGGTATTAGCACAACTACAGAACATAATCAGGATTTGATTTCAGGGTAGAGATTAATCTCCTGAGGGTCCTCTCACATCCTAGCAAGAGGTTTAGGAGATCAAATCCATCCTGTTTATGTTCTACGGTACGCGCTGATGTGCTGTAAGCTTGAGCGGGGATGTGAGGGTTACTAACGTGACCTCGCTAAGTAAAGCTAGGGTAATAGTTGACTTGTGCTGGATAGCCTCGTCAAGTAGTTTTCGCGCTTTGCCTTCCTTTAGGCACCACTTGAGGGTCCCTTTAATCATTCGTCGTTTGCTTGGGGCCGCCTGCAAGCTCTTCTGGGGTGTCAAAAAAGACAATCCGTCAAGTTCTGCCGCCAGCTCTTCCACCGTATCGCGACAGCCCTTGATTGCTCCACCTATCTCGTCTAGGTTTCGAACAACATCTGGAAAATTCAAGTCCATATCTGAAAGATACTTTAAGCTCTCCAATGTGGCTTTGAGTGTCGATATTTCGATGAAAATGAGACGCAGATCCCTTGGCACGTCATGAGCAGTCTCGATGAGGTGCTTGCATTTGCTGATAACTTTCGCAGTAAGGTCAATGACCGTCAGAATACCAGCGGCGATACCAAAAGCTTCCGCCATGCTCGCAGTTCCTTCGGCGTTCAACTGGATCGCAGAGACTAAACCAGTAGCCTCTGCGCCTTCTTAACGAGCCTTGGGCACGCTCTGATAGCTGGTTGATAAGACCTTTAGAATAGACTAAACCGATTTTAGACCCGTGAGATAACTAGCAGTTTGCAACATATTTCAGGTTCCCGATCGTGCGTACCGCGGGCCAAGTGAGTTGTCCAGACAAGCACTCTGAAATCCTAAATAATCGTTGCCGAAAAGCTGGGAGTTGGATGTTAGATGATGATTGTAGGAGAATTTTTAGAGAAACGAGGGTTGCTCCACGTTATCAGGTTCCTTAGGTGTGATGTTGAGAGACAAGTTGATGATCGCAAGGCAGAAGCCAGAAGGCTGCAAAAGTGATGGGCGGCTCACTCACCACACAGCCACATCGGTGGCTTGCGGGGCAAATTCCGGCATATTGGCGCCCACTTTGCAGGGCTAACAGGGTTGTATTGGTTTTCTCCATTCGCTGCAAGACTAAAAGGGCGCTGATTTCTATCTTGGATCAACCGCTTTCATTCCTTCCATCTGAAACCGATTCAAGCGGTTCCGATCAATCTCTCATGTTTCCGCCCCCAAACCCCATTTCCTCGTATGTGCCAGTACCCCATATGCCCATATCGAAGAACTTGTCCATGTCGAAATCTTTATCCATCATGAACGCAAACGGATCAAGGTATTCGTTTCCAACATCTAGATTTCCAGTGCCCAAATCAACGTGGTTCAATGCCATCTGTGGAAATCTATGAACGCCATCGTGAACGGTCAATGGGGTTTGACATGTCCTAGAGGATTCCAAGCTGCCTTGAAAATTGGGTATAGTGTCAGGTGTCGGAAGCTCATTTGGAGTAAGCTGCGCTGAAGTCATCATTCTAACCCGAATCTTGCGGCAGTACCAGCCTTTTATCAACTCCATAATCATTCTCATGGCCCACCAAAAATCTGGATGCGGTTGTTTACGTTTCTCAAAGGTTGAGAGGCTTTGCATACGATAGCAGAGGGATTCAAGGCAGAGATCTAGCCTTACACGGTCTTGCGCTGCTTTTACATCCCACCGGGTGGCCGTGTGCGCTTCACTGGGGATACAAAGTCTTGTAATCGTCATCACAACAAACGGGAGTCGCATCCATTCGGGGAATGTTATGAGATGATACTCGGAGGCGGGGATAGCGATAAGCGCATCTAAGAACGATTTTCCAGCTTCCAGAGTAGACGAAAGGGCGTTTAATTGAGTAGGGCTCGCAAACGGGTGTTCAGAAGATACTTGAGAACTGCGGAGACCGATGCTATGAAGTTGCATCATGGTGTAGGAGCAGGAGAGATCCAGCACTATCACAGCATTAACCCAGATCGGAGAAGGGAACTATATTTCTTACCTCGCGGGTGCTCTTCACGTTGCGTTTCCCGCCTCCATTCTTCAATTTGTGTCTCCACGAACCGGAGATTCATCAATACTCGTGAATCCGTGATAGGAAGTTGCGCAGCCTCTTCGGTAAAAAATGTGTCGTGTATTTGATCGTCAATCCTGCGCAGAGAAATCAGCTGTCCTATGATTTCATCTATCGAATATTCAGCATCATTTCTTAAGCACCTACAGGCTTCGGCCATGTAGTCAGTGTATTTAAGAAGATTGGGTTTATGGAGTCCTCCAGCGATACTGTGGATTATGAGCGATCCCAATTCGATACAGAACAATACAAAGTCTTACGCTGATGATAAGTAGTAACAGCCAAGAAATGCTCTCTGACGCTCACGAGCTTCGCTAGGAGATGGCGAAGGGGGCTTTGGTCGCCCTGGCATCTCGAAGAACGACAGGCCTTGTTTTTGATGTAGCCCGATGTCAAGGGCAACACCAATAGCGAGCTGAATTAACGAAAATATTTGGTGGGTTTTGTGGCTAAACACAAAATGGTACCTTTTACAATGAGCGCAAGAAGTGTACCATAAAAATAAGGAAACCTACCAGGAAAGGTAGACGATGATGCTTTGCACGAGTGACAGTGTCCTATGTGGTCGAATAATTGTGCGATTCGCAAGCTCGATCCGAAATTGCTCATCGAGAGCTAGTTGGCGTTGATGGTCTTTCGAAGATGTTGCCGTCAGAATTGCTAGGAACAACATGGGATTTCTAGAACTAAGCTCCTGGGCAGATATGGTTGGAGGAATGGGAACAAAAGGGAATGAATGTAACATGGAGCGGTACTCGTTCAGAAGAACATCAGCCTCTCCACTGGAGAGCAAATCCCTAACCAATTTATGCTCGACTACCGGGTCAAGGGGGGTGCTGGCTTGGAAAAGAGTGCCAGGCGGGGGGCGTGGTTCGTGGTGGTCAACGAAATTGTGGATCTTTCGGAGTTTCTCAAGAAATTCCTGAGATCCTTCAGCATCACGATCGATCATCTGGGTTTCAGTATCGTGATCATTTCTCTGGGTTTCAGTATCGTGATCATTTCTCTGGGTCTCAGTAAATGATGAGGGAAATGGAAGCCAACTTCCTGGTGCAAGGGGTCTCTCGCGTAGCTGTCCTTCGCACGGCTTATATTCTGATGATGGTTCTGCATTCGCTGGTGCTCGTCTCGGGGGTTCGGTTTGTACAAGACTAGCGAATAGACCATCAATTTTTTGCTCAACCTGTGATATTCGTCTAGACGGAGAGTTAGTTGTTTTGTTCGAAATTCATTGGTGGGAGCGTACGAAGGACCACGTAATCGCTTCGCACGGCGTGGTGTCTCTGGCCATACGCATTCGCGTGTAGAAGAGAGACATCTATGTCTTTATCAACTCCAATTTATTAACAAATGCGGATTTCGCATGCCATACCGTTGGCATGTGCCCGCTCGCTCGCTTGGATAGCACCTCGTCTTGAGGTTTCGGCAACGCTGGCATGCCTGGGAGGTGCGACCTTGTGGCGCCTTCTCGACGGGCGGCTGTTCAATTTCTTCCATTTCCGCGACACGAGATGGGGGGGAAGGGAAAAAGTGAGGGCGGAAGCGATGCAAACTCGTGTAATCGGAACTCGGGTATACATTACATCCGTGCCGATCCATGGCTGCGCTAGTGACTAAGCCTAAGGCTACCTAGGATTGACATTCCTCGGCCCCTTTTCCACTACCTACACTCTCTAGCCATCCCAGAAAGCCCTCTAAACTCATGTATAGGCTGCATGTGTATGTTATTTTCTCAGTCAAGTCGCGTAATATCGAAATTAAGCATCGACGCTAACTTCCAGCCATACCATAATGTCGCTCTAATTGTGACTAAATTCAAGTGGATGCTCATGGCATGATTTCGAGAGAAAGCTTGATTTAGTTGCCGCATCTCTGCGCTAACCCCCTTCATATCTCTAGCTTTTAGGTCTTCTCTTGTTCCTGGAGCCGTATTAGCATCGTTTCTGGTATCAGCCGACTGTTCTTCTGAGGCTTTTGCTTCACATCTTTGCTACAAACTTCTGCTGTAGTATGATGGATACGCACCTTGATGAATTCGATCGATCATCACTTGCCGTGTACGTGGTCCATACACCAGCAAGTTCAAAGCCGATGTTAGTCCCGCAACGGCGAAAGGAATCCAGGTTTTCTGCTCTTCAAACAAAGATATAGGCCCGTGCGGGGGAACGGTAGCCGCGGCGAGGACCACGAGGAGGGACTGGCCCCGGAAATAGAGGGGAAACAGGCGCTTTTGAAGAGTCGTGAAAGCAGATCGTGGGAGTTCTTGGTGAGCTACCTTCGTCATTACGAAAGTTTGGTACATTTCCGTACCAAGGAGCGTCGAGTATGTCAGAAGGTGCAGAGGGCCTAACGTTGAGGCAAGGGATGAGAGCATGTTGTCGAGTTCAACTATATATAGTATTGTGGTGAATTTGTCCAACCCTCCGACGAATGCTCACTCTTTAAGGACTTGACGTGTTATGAAGGGCTCGACAACTGTTGGAATTCGGGGTGGTACGGTTGACGGATGTTAGTTTACCTGCCGTCCCGACCTCCATCGGGTCGAGCCGAAACCCCCATTGCCTATGATTCGTCATCCATGATGTCCATTCAAGGGCTATTCCAGAGCATCAACGCGTTACCTCTCACCTATGAAGTTCCTCCATATCAAGGTTAAGATCTCGAAGCTAGCAATGCATTGTCACGGATGGCCCGTCCATTAGAATAATCTGGGTGACCTATAAAATATCGACGATGCAAGTCGCTCACTTTCAATTCTGCATAATTGACGGTACCGGACCTTCCCACACGGTCACAGCGATCTTTTCGATGCAAATGCTAGCCTCGGGTGGTAATGTCGCGACGAACTTGTGGATCAGTTCTTCCCCGCACAAACGCTGTTTTTACCCCACGCGCTTATTGCCCGCGTCCATAATTCCGTGCGTTAAATGAATGTCTCCAGCCACAACAACAGATGTTTCGAGGTCTTACTATTGCTATCTCATAATCTACAAAATTCAGCTACTATGCGAAAAGTCCAGGGAGAGTTTTTTAATGTCAGTTTCCCAGAATAAATCGTTTCGTACACAGTAGGCTTGTTTTCGTCCCACGGAGGAAGAATAGCCCTCGGCAAAGTTTTGCCCAAGCGTTTCTAGTTCGATAAAGTATCGAGCATTCCAATTTAAGGTGGTTTATTAGATTTCTCCGTCAATAGGTTGGTCTCCTACTAAATCCATTTTAACATCATAATGCCGATCCGCACAGTAGTGATTATATCTCTCTTGCACCGTCCGCTCTTTCCCATCCTTTGGCTTGTCACCCTCTCACGCACCGTTGCTCGAGCTCCCTCTTAACTCAGAGAAGCCTAAAGATATCCTTCATCATGCGTCTTATCGTTCTATCCTCCCTCGTCGCCTTCGTATCTGCTATACCTTTCTTTACCCGAGCCGAGCGGCCAATCTACTGGCTTCTTGCAGGCGACTCAACTACCGCGCCAAATGGAGGATGGGGTGACGGTTTTCTTTCTACCACAGTTGCATCGGGCTCATCTGGCCACAACTACGGTCACAGTGGAGCGACGACGGCATCTTTCCGAGCTGGCAGTGATTGGGGGAAGGTAGTCAAGGATATTGGAACATATAAGGATAAGTATGATGTATATGTTACAATCCAGGTCCGTACTCCAGGTTTTATAGATTTCAGAAATACATCATGTCTGTTTGGCTAAATATGTTTAGTTCGGACACAACGACCAAAAGAACACCTCCGGTGTCTCCGTCGAAGAGTACAAGACCAATCTTAAGAATTTCGCATCCGAAGCCAAATCGGCAGGAGCCATTCCTGTAACATTCCACTCCAAGCACATACTCTACTACTAACTCCTTCCCAAGGTTCTTCTCACGCCTCTAACCCGCCGAAACTTCAACGGCGCCAAAGTCACCGAGAATCTCGCCGAACAACGTGCTGCCACTATCTCCGTGGCCGAAAGCAATAGCATTCGGTACATCGACTTGAACATTGCTTCTGAGAATTACGTCAATGCGATTGGTAAGACAGCCGCAAGTAAGTACAATCTTGCTTCGAATGATTGGACGCACTTGAATGAGTGGGGTGGGGTGGTTTTTGCGAGGATTGTGAGTGATTTGCTGGTGAAGAAGTTTCCGGAGTTGGAGGGAGTTACGAAAGCGAATGCGACGATGAGTGCGTTGATTGCAGAGGGGAAGCCAGCGTAAAGATATGGGGGAACGGACAATGCCTCGAACTTGGTTTGCACCTTAGGATGCTAAGGAGCTGAATACCGTAATCACACGAGTCACTCATATCGCCAGAGAATTTACAGTCGGAGGCTTTCCGTTCAATCCAATGTCGGCGTCATAGAAGGTCAGACAGCGAACAACTTATGAAGAAACCTTGTTTTGTGGATAGGAAACGTTGCTATGGAGGGTACCAACCCAAATCCAAAAAGCTTTCAATACCCACATTCAAATCAAGTGAATGGGTGGAAGCCAACTATGCCTCCCAAACCCAACAAGCAACAAGCACCAAACCCACCGAATCTCCTCGCGCAAACCTAGCCATCTAGCTTCTCTTCCTAAGCCCGTCACCTCTTCGGAACCCCGCTTGGAATAGCCGTGCCAGAAGGCGGTGCACCACTTGGCATGGTACCATTCCCTCCTGCACCATTACCAGAGTCGCTGCCTCCACTCTGCGCGACGCCTCCGCTTGCAGTATAAACAAAGCTATAGGAAGGATCGTACGTCGCTGAGACGTTGACCGCAATCGTGATCCAGCCAAAGAGACCGTCAGAGAGGTCATTACCTAAGTATACATATTCCAGCACTGGGTCCGAATCGCTGTCCTCGGTTTCGGCAAGGAAGACATGGTCGTCTGCGTTCGTGGTAAGGGTCACGTTGTTTGTGTTGTAAGGAGCCGTAGCTTCGACCGCATTAATGAGATCCTGGTCCCAGAAGATCTGTCCAACATGGGCAGCTGTGCCCCCCGTGAGGGTGTTGTTAGGAAGGACCGTAGCGTTTAGATGGGCGACCATGTGGTGATGTGTCGTGCGCCCGGAATAATGACGAGGGAAGATGGATTCAAAGGTTACGACTCCGTCGGCATCTGTTTTTTGCAGACCGCGGAGAAAGGTTGCGTTGTAGTTTGAAGTATCCGCCGAGTTACCGTTGCCGTTGGCCACGAGGCCGGAGTATACACCTGTCGAATTGCAATTCCAAACGTCCCAGTAGAGATCTGGAATCGTTTCGCATGTTTCGACGTCGATGAATTGACCTTCGAGGACGATCGGGACACCGGGTTGGTTGTCGCGGACATTCGTCCGAATGTACTCGCCCGGAACCCAATAGGGGCCTACCTCGCCCTCGGGGTTCAAGATACAGGTCTTGTTACTAGCGAATATGATGTTCGCTGGAGTATTGGGGGTGTATTCTTCAGAAGAGAGATGGGAGGTGTTGAGTACAGAATCAGTGTCCCGAACCGCAAGACCGCGAGCCTGGCGATGCTTGGCTACAGTGGCGGCTCGACGGGCTGCCGCGCGTTCCATGACACCTCCTCGAGCCTGAAGCTTCTCGGCGCATGCTGCGAGGCCGCGTCGAGCATGGGTTTTGAATTCGCGTTTACTGAGCTCAGCGGCTTCGTTGTGTTCGTGGTGCTCGCCTGGGTGAGCAAGGGCTGAGATGGCGAAGCTGGCGAGTGTGATTTTGGAGAAGAAATGCATGATGAGAATAAGCTGTAACGAGAGAGTTCTCAAAGAAAGAAGGGGCGACGTTGAAAGGAAATTTAAGATACTTCTTCGAGGTGTCAGTGAAAATTCACTTCCCATCTCGTCCCTCAAGAACTTATACCCAGTTGAATTTTCATATTTCCAAAGCAACTCTATGTCCACGAAGCATCTGCGTAGTTATCGAAGCTAGTGAGTACGTATGCGCCCTCCTTTCATTCAGGCCCCTCTTTCTTTCGTTGGACGTTGGTGCTGGTGGCAGAGAAAGGCCAAGGCCTCTATCCCAAATCAGTCCCCATCTCCGTAGCCATGCTTGCTCCGACGTGCGGGAAGGCTCCGTTTCGAATGTTTCTTGCTGCGCGCCCATATAGAGTGAGTGGATTTGAAGGACAGGGACTGTGCGAAATACGGGGAAGGAAAAGCCAGGGCCACGTAATCAGGCATCACGTGATCAGGCTCGCCAGTTGTACCCCCAGTCGTGCAATGTTTTGAGCGGGGTTAAAGCGGATCTAAGGTGCTTGATCGCATTACAGCTATGGTAGCTCAAAACTAATCTCATCGCGTCGATCTTTTCGTCGCACACTTAATTTGTCTTGGGTACGTGGCAGCCATTCGCGTCCACATGATGTCTTGTGTGGCTTGTCAGCCCTTCTTCCGAGGTCAGTATTCGGAGCATAATTGATCGCTCTTCTCAGCAGGTCCCTGTATATTCTTAGCACTCTTGAGCAGACTTGTATTTACTTCTTTACTTCGTCGGCGGGAGAATCTACACTCTTAGAAAAATGGCTCCTTCCAAGAAGGTAAGGAAAACGTCAGTCCAGGCTGCCACTTCATTTCAGCTTTGCTGAGACGGAGATATCCACAAGCTCATGGATGGTAGCCTAATGATGCAGGGTCACGTGAAGGCCCATTCACAAACTTCGTTGAGCGAATGTCCTGAAGAAAGAGGGTGAATGGTGTACTTGTCCATGAACAGGGCTGGCGCATTTTATATCATCTTACCGCTGTACTACTAGCCAGTTACCTCGTAACCGCCCCTTTCCATCCTGGTGACTCACTCACTGGTGAGTCGTGCTCCGTGATTTATAACCTGTGTGTACTTCATCTCCGCCAGAATTCCAGTGATGGTCGTTCCAGCGCACTGTCTAATAAACAGATTGTCAGTATGACAGATCCGAATTTCGAAATTGAAGCTCAACGCCTCTCCCTCACTTTTTTTGATCCATCGAACGACTCCCACTGCGATTTCTTAGTCGAATTGTACAATGCACCGGAGATACTGGCAACGAATGGGGGCATAGCTCCTCCAATAGGAGATCGAGAGGCAGCGCGAAAGATTCTTACAGGGGAGCAAGACGAGCGTCTTCGTTCCGGCGACATGTATGGAAAATACCTCGTTACCCTGAAGTCTCCCCCACCCTCCGATAACGATACCCCATCACTTGCATTACATCAATATGGCGAAAAGATCGGGATAGTTACGTTGAATCTGAGAAAGGGACAGAACAGCTTCACAGTTCCAGAAATTGGGTACTGGTTCTTGAAGAAAGGCAGGGGGAGGGGATACGCGACCGAAGCTACCGGAGCGTTGATGAAGTATCTTGAGGAAGAAAAGGGGCAGAGGGAGCTGTTTGGATTTTGTAATCCAGATAATAAGGCTTCGAAGGGGGTGTTGAAGAGACTTGGATTTGAAGCGAGGGGTATTGCGACGTTGAAGACGTTTGGGGGTATTGTTGGAGCGGTGTGGGCACGACCAGGTATGAATGAGGATTTGAGTGTGTATGGGGTGTGAGCCCAGTCGGCGAGGAGGTCTTTCAGGTATTTCTTCCACGAAGCCCGGCGATATTTAAGTTGTTACAAGTGTGAATCTCTCGTTCTAGGATAAACACATGGAGTTTAGTCGGCATCGCGGACACTTATTATTAATAGCTCAGAGATACGAATACTACGGAGATCATATGATGTCGAATAAATCTAGCCCCTTACTATATCATTAGAAACGTTCCGTCTATGCCCAGTGAAATCTTACAAACGACTGGAAAGCTCAAGACCTCACCACCCAAAGCGCCGAGATATACTCCAATCCTCCTTTCCATTCGAGTTTTCGTGATTAAGGTCCCAAGTTTCCACTCACGAAGACACCTAAGACCGCCGCATACTTAATCTAGAATTTTCTCACTCAAGGAAGGGAAGAAAATGGCGCTACTAACGCTGCTGTTGTAGCGAATACTTCAGACTTCTTCGCTCAAGTGAACAGTCCCACATCCCCTGCAAACAGGAGCATGTACACCCCGATCGTGACCTACTTCTTCGTGGGATTCGGGACGACATCGATAGTAATAACTAGCCCGAAGAGAAGGATAACCAGAACTGGCTTTGGCTTTATAATTTTCTCAGTTCCTGGCGCATTCTTTTGTCTCCCGATGCCCATGCTCAACACTCTAATCACCGGCATCGAATCGTTCTGGTTTGCCTGTAGCTCAGCCAATGCACTCTGGAGATAGAGTACATTTCGAGCTGCAAGCTGATTGAAGCGCTTGAAGGCGAGGGGAGGTGTGGTCGGGGTCGCTCGAGATGAAGTTGGCGACAGACGGAAGCCCGGTCAAAGGATGGAGAGTTTAAGCCGTCAATTCTGCATCAGATCCTCGCGGCGTTCTAGCCATAGAGGTTGGAGGATGTAGCTGAGAGGATTCTCGACGAGTGAGTGGGTATCTCGCATCAAATCCGCCTCCGAGGATGCCTTTGACTAGGACCGGTGAAGGCGGGGCAGTGCTTCATGCCCCTCAGTGTTGAGCCAGTCATTGTTAACTACGGCCCCACCAAGATGTTTTTTTCAACATTCCACCCAGGTATCTCACATCAAAGACATCAGTGTTTTCACTTCTCAACATCCCTACTCCCTGTGGAGATTTACGCTCCCTTCCCAACGGATGTATAACCAACTGAAACCGCTCCCCTTCCTTTAGAGGGCACCATCGAGCGATACATTCGGATCGCTCGACTCTAGAAATCTGGAACAGTAAAATGAACGAAATTCCATCTAATCCAATCTTTTCTTACAATCCTAAACTTGACGGTACATCGCTGCCCAACCCACCCTCTCACCCCTCGAATTCGACCTCCTCCACTGCGACAATGGCCTCGCCCCATTCGAAGACATAAACGCCTCCCCACCTGGCACTGCGCGCACTTGGGGTGCTATCTCCTTACGCTCCCCAAACGCTCCAACCATATTAGCTACACCCAAAGGTATGATTCCATACCAGCAATGGGAGGGCTTCAACACGTCCGCATTCTTTTATCCCCCATTTGAAGGATATCCTTGGGGCGCTCCTGATACACCAAAAGGGTTTGCGCATGTAAGAGTGCCCAAAGAGGTAATGGAGTATATGGCGCTTGTTGCGGCCGGGAAGATTATTTTCGAGGGAGAGGATTTTCCGTGTCAGAAGAGCATTGGGTATGGAAGGTATGGCGGCGGAAGGGCAAACGTGTCATATAGTGCTCCGTATACGTACTGTGCCGTGAGGTGAGTAGCCGTTTCACTTTATTCTGGCTCAGAGAATGGGAGATGGGGAAACCGGGGGGGTGGGGGATGGTCTTTGGGTTGACTGGTAAGATTGCTAACAGTTTTGGCGACCTAGATACTATTGTAAACAGTGGGCAGAGCCGCTACCCACGAGTAGATTCTGTCTAAGTCCGCCAAATGGGCCGGCGAGCATAACGAACGAGTGGTGTTGGCCTTCATGGAGCGAGTGAGGAATTGCTGCAAAGCAGAGCCGTGTGGGTTGTGAATCAATGTGATGGTTTTCCTCCATAGTAGAAAGCCTCCTTGGTTATCTTAAGACTTAAACTACTCGTGAGTATTCTAGTGATGGTTCACCAGGGCGCAGGGCGAAGCGACGGAGATGGGGGCTTTTGCAAGTCTATAGTCTCCAACTTGGTAGGACGCGGTCAATATGAACGGAAGATTTTTACGCATGTCTCTCTGGGTCCACAGTACACCACCAGATACCACGGAACATAACTAGAATAGCAATAAAAGGCAAATTTCTGTCCTACATTGCCCCCAGCTCGAACAGTCGCCTCGAGTCAAGGCATCCATTCGAGCAGCTAAAGAATCCATCCATCAACCCGAACAACATCTTGATCTTCAAATGAGCGCATTTTTCTCCCCAACCCTCACGCCAAACGCCAACCATGATCCAGCTCCTCAAACCCATGAACTCCACTCCCTTCGCCCACTTCCATTTCCCCCTCCACCTAAAGTCCCGAATCGTCCTGCACAATACTATTCTCACTCTGATAATCACTCCAGCTCTCACAATTACTCTCCAAGCTCGTCTGATCCGTAATCCCCGCAATTTCATCATACCTCTCTATAAACTGAATCCCAAATCCCTCACTTGTATGCCACCCAATATGACAATGCATCAACCAAGCCCCCGGATTATCTGTCTGGAAAGCCAACACCAGATACCCAGAGGCCGGAAGCAGAGCGGTATCACGTCGCGGGGGGTTGTCGAGATTCAGCGTAATTGAGGAGGAATATGTACCAGAGCCTTGCGCGAGGATGGCGAAATCGTGGCCGTGTAGATGGATGGGGTGGGGCACGGCTTGTGTTGTTTCGATAATGACGTAGATCCAGACGTCAGCAGTTGGGAGTTCAAGGACCGCGTTAGAAGTATTGAATGTGGTGTCGCCGTCAAGGATTTGGAGCAAGGTAGGATTGGCCCATTCTACGACCATGGTGGTGCTGTTCATGTACCAGCGGAAGAGATTATCGTCGTTCAATCCAACGCTAGCAGTCTCGAGCTCGTTAGTCGACGAGGTTTCGACGGTCTTGGAGAGGTAGGGAGTCAGGTTGTCAGTTTCATCGTCGCAGCCATCATCGTAGGAGTATGCTGATGTGGTTGGCGTGGAAGGTGAGGTTCCATAGTATACGATGCCGCGGATATCGTCTTCGTTGTCGTTTTCAGAACATGCAGACTGCGGGATTGCACGCATCCAAAAGTTGTCGGCGACGGATGCTTGGTCAGCGGTGATAATGATGTCGTAACGCTGACCCATTGCAATGTCTAATATAGTGGTGTTGTAAGGTTCGATTGGCACTAGATCTGATGCAATGACTTGCATGGTGTGGTTGTCGACCATGAACTTCCAGTGTGTGTCCACTGCGGCGTTGACGAGCCTAATGCGGTACGAGGTGTCCGAGGTGAAGGATACGTTATATCTGTATCCTCCATCATCGTACGTGTTAGTGCCATTGATAAGACCAGTGTCTAGTGTGGGAGGTCCGCTTGACTCTGCAGTGATATACAGCTCGTCTACAGTCTGTAGGATTCGAAATCAGTAAGGAGCTTAGCGCACGAGGAATATATATCATGATGCACGTACTTGATGATCCCAATCGTTCAGAAATAGCATCCCAAGATCTTCATCATAGTCTGCCGTGGCAGGGCCATTGATGACGATCCCACCAAAAATCCCTTCCCAGGCCTGCAGCGCGAAATGGGAATGATACCAAGTCGATCCATACTGGACTGCTTTCCAAGTGTATGTGATCGAGCTTCCAGGAGCAGTAGGACATTGTGTAATAGAAGACACGCCGTCCTGGTCGTTGGTATAGTTTTGACGGATGCCATGGAAATGGATGCTCGTCCCGTTTTGTGAAGTAGTCAGAGAGTTTGTGACATGTACAACTACTGTATCTCCCCAGTCCGCAAAAAGAGTGGGGCCAGGGATAGATCCGTTGACAGCTTGGGCATAGCGGGATATGCCGTCTGGAGCGACTGTCACATCAGTAAGCTCGAGCCAGTATTCCCGAGTTACACCGGTGTCGGGAGCCTCTGTTCATTTGTGTTAGTTTGTGCTCTGAGGCTCGCAGATAGTGGAGGGTGGTCCATGCAAGATGCTCAAGGAATGAAATGAATGAAACCAATGGTTGAGTTGCATCTTTAAGCTTTGGTCGCCCAGAAATGGTGAAAATGAAATGAAAAATAGGCTAACCAGACGTATAATCTGTATCGATCGAATAGTCGCACCATTCCGAACGAGTAGATGCAGTATTTCCAGAGCAACTCGCTCTTGGGAACAATCTCGGTTCATGGAGTGAACGAGAATTCTGTGAGGATGGAAAGGCGACCGCAAGACTGCTTAAAATAGCAACTCCAAAAAAGAGACTACCATTGAAGAGCATGACGAGTCGGGAGTATCTTTGAATGACTTGGACGTCAATAAAAGTATGCAGCGAACAAGTCCGCAAGAACGAATAGATACAAGGATGTATAAGGCTTAGTCACAAAGCTAAAGAATGCTGAAGTGAATGAAGAAGTCCTAGGTAGCTGTTGGGGATGCCATCCGGTGATCTTTATGCTCACCGATGACTACCTCCTCATCTTGTCCCTGAGTCTACTGTCTCTTTCCATCGTGGTGGTTCTACTCTTTCCGGAAGTACAATGCCCTGACCATTAGGGGTACTTGCGCACACACAAGGCTAAAACGCGCGGCAGTTCGTCGGCCCGCTTACCATGGATCTGAATTTCAAAGGCAGAACATGAAGATCAAACAATAAAAATAGCACGGAGACAAATATTTGAAGTTAGAGTAGTTCCCCTGCTCCTTTGACGCGTCGGCATTAGAACGGAGATTTTCCTAGAAATGGACCGATAGCGGCGAACAACTGATGTGGCTGGGTTGCCGCATCATCACTGGACCAGGGTTCCCCACATGAAACAATCCCAGGACGCGAATCTGATATGCTGCAGCGCGAAAACGTTCATGCAAGGTGAAGTTTCCCCTGGATTTGGTTTGAAACAAGAAGCGACAAGCATTTATGGAGCAGGGATCCTTGTAGTCATCACCTTCAACTTGAGCGGCGGTCGCCGAGATAACACCTTTCCCCCTACTCCACACATGATTGAAAAGAGAAACTTTCCGTGGAGTTTACGACTGCATGACGTTGATGCGTGAAGCGTCCGAAGACCGACTAAGAGGCCGAATGAGATCAAAAGGTAACATCCTGCCTCATTTCGTACAACATTATTTTTATTCAATATCTTTCTTAAAACTTCATCATTCATCTTCGATCATATTTCCCCTCTCCTCTGTTGCCTACATTTGTTTGGTTTCGTCATATTCTCATCCCTTTTCTCTCCCAGCAATGTCTGTCCTGAGTCTTATCTTCTTCGCTTCTCTTCCTTTCGCGGCCTTCGGAGCCCAGCGGCGCGCGACCCCAGAGTCGTTCCAATTATATGCATATGGCGATGGCCTTGGTGGGCTTCCCATGTTTCATGCAGATGGTAGGCAAATTTATGTGGTCAATAAACATCGGTCAGCACCGTACTGAAAGACAGGAAGGATACGCCTACGTTGGAAACCCAAGCTCTTCGAACAGCTCTAATGCTGCAGAGGTCATGTGTAGGTTACTGAAAACTATTCGTTCTCTCGATAACGTGCTAAACAACGAAATAGTCTCTCCTGGATCCGACAACACGTGGTTTGGAAGCCCCAACACTACAAATCTTGGCAATGGAACTACTCCAAACTGGAGCAACGTGACATTGTTCGTTCCCGGTCCTGGTTCAGTCGATAGTCGGGTAGGATTCCTCAATGGTACGAATTCAAGCACTAGCAATGTCATCACCTCAGGATTCGTATTCTACGGCTCAACGGCAATGCTTCTCGGCGATGATGGCCTCGAGACAATGTGGACAGGCCTAGCGGTGGGAAATACAGGTGTGTTTGCAATCTATTGGAACGACACCTCGAGTGGCCAGGTCCCGATCTCCATGAGACGGGTCGCACCGTCGAACCCATCGCGTCGTTGGAGTTAAGGGGTTTGGTCTGTCAACACGCGTTAGTTGTTCGAAGACATTGATAAACTTCAGTATGTACATAGTATGTCCACCAAATTGGAGGGGTTTCGGACTTGGCTAGGGTCGATTTTAGTGTTGCTTCGCTATCGTAACCTTACTTTCCAAGTGTGGTTTTTCTTGAATACCGCCAAACAAGGCGTTATCTAGCTAGAAATCATGCTCTAAATATCTTTAAAGTTCTTCCCTCACGATTTGGAGCAGGCAAGAGGAGGTGGTGGGCCCGTAGGTAGTAACAAAGTCTCGAGCTTGAGGTAGTACTTCCGTGAAGTACCCAGGTAGCATAATTGGGATGTGGTGGAGTTACCAATTGTGGCGTTCTGTGGCGCCTTTCCAATATTCGTTAGTGCATCGCTGTCCCTTTTCCTTGGGTTTCAAGTGCAGCACACTTGACCATTCCTTTTCGCGAGTTCAACAAATCCCGACGTGTCATCAACACCACCTATAGCCCAACGACGTTTTGCCCTGACAAACGCTCTAGTCTAGGTAGGCTTTGAAATCCACACCAATTAGACCCGGCCACAGGATATTCATTCTGTCAACCACGGATCTCGTTGCACCAACTGACGACGGGGATGGATTCTACTTTCTTCACTCAACGCAAGCGCGCAAGCTATTCTACAAACGTTTTCTTAACTACATAGGTGATAAAACTAAATCCAGAAGAAAGTTTCTATCGAACTAACAAGTAATGTACAGAGCCCTTCCGCCTACCTATTCTATTGGTCATCCCATCAATCCTCCTGGTGCTGCAGGAAACTACAGTTCGATCTCGTATGAAGTGGAGATGAAAGTCTTAGGGCCCTGAAGTGCTTCAATGAGCCGGCTTCAACCCTTTAACGCTCTTCCACTCCACGAGGACGGCACCAATAATGGATACGGCACCGACCGCCGAGGCGACATAGAAGACACTCGTTAGAGAGTGATTATATGCTAGCAGTAACTGTGTTCTTCCTGCAGTAGTAGCAACTAAGTTTTTCAACTCGGTCGCCCCCGTGTGCAATACTTCCATGGGATCCAAGCCAGGAATTCGCGCCTCCTTCAATGCTCTAATAAGCTCCTGATTCAAGACGTTCTGGCCGATACAGACACAAATTGAACCACCAAGCTGCATGCCGAAGAAGATCAACGAGATGGCTAACGGTATATCTTCTTTTTTGAGAACTGCTTGAACCGCCGTCGATGGCTGTTGCATCCCGAACCCCAAACCGAACCCGAAGAGGACCTGATATCCAATCCATTCTCCAGACCCGGACGTAATGCTAAGAGTGGAGAGCAGGCCTGCGCCAACTGCCATCATGATTGAACTGAGTATCATAAATGGCGACGCGTATCCTATGACCTGAGAGACAAGAATACCGCCGAAGATGGATCCAAGGGACTGCGACACAAGCAGTGGGATTGTCATCTCTCCAGACTTAATAGGAGTAGCGCTCTTAATCGCTTGAAACCAAATCGGGATCCAGTATACTACTGTCATCATGGCTCCGCCGGTGCAGGTCGAATAGTAGAAGCTCGATGCTACGGTGCGCTGTGTGACGACCCGCGGCGAGATTGTCGCAATTTCTGGATTGAACTTCTGAGATGTTATGAACGCGATGCCTAGCAATCCGCTAAGAACCAACAGGAGGATGATTCGCCAGCTACTCCAAGCATATTGGGAGCCACCCCACTGGAGTGCAAGGACCAGGCAGGTGACGGCTGGGATCAACAAGCCTGCGCCAATTGGATCGAGCATCTTCAAATGCTCCAGTGGGCTCTTCTTTGATGCCTCTTTCCCTGGAGTTGCCTTGACAAGGAGCAGGAAGATGACAATAGTGACCATTCCAATTGGTATGTTAATGATGAAGCACCACCGCCAGCTTGCGTTACTTGTTAGCGCACCTCCGATCAGAGGGCCAATGATAGCAGATATGCTCATGATTGCCATCAGCATCCCCATGAACATCGGGCGCCGCCTCAAAGGGACGTTGTCGACGAGAAGGATCATGGAGCCCGAGAAGACACCAGCACATCCAATTCCCTGAATGGCGCGGCCAATGATTATGGTCTTTGAATTGAAGGCTCCCGCACAGATCGCAGAGCCAATTTCGAAGAGTAATACCAGCGAGAAGAAGACCCATTTAGGGGTGTAGAAGCTATAGAAGCGGCTAAGGGGAAGCTGCATCGCGCAACCTGTCAAGGCGTATGCGCTGGCGTACCATCCGATATCGCCGAAGGACTTGAATTGGTCGGTGATTCTTGGTACTGCAGTAGCCACGATCGTTCGGTCCTGAAAACCTGTTAACACTTGGCCTTGGAGTTCATCTCTCACGATATATCGAATCTGATGACGATGATGGATATTGCTTACCAGCGAAACCAAGAACATGGCCAGGGATATGGCGAGCATGAGCAGGGCAACGGCAGCGGGACCTGGATACTGAGTTTCGTCGTCTTTTTCTGCTGTCATCTCTGGCTTCGCTTCCGGATTGCTTTCGCCAGTGGGCCCCTCCATTTCACTGCCTGTTGTCTCTGCTTCTTCACTTGTTCCGTTCTTCACCTTCCCTTCAAGCAGTTCGTATGAGTCCGTGTGCAGCTTTGCCATTGAAGACTTCCTTTCCTGTTCTAAGTTCCTCGGCTTGTAAAAGGAAGGGAAGATTGTGGAGGGGGTGGACAAAACAAGCCTTTACCTCGTAAAACTAACCCACAAAAGTGAAAACGATGAACTTGACAATGCCTCTCCTAGGGTATATAATGCTTGTTTATGGTGCAGTTAATCTGGGGCTGAGGCATTCGGCGCCTCGGCAGGAGGCAAAATCCGCATACCGATATTCACGTGACTTTACCACCGAGATTCCGAACAGTCCTTTGAAAGCCCACGACAGGGGGTAACGTAATACAACATGGCGGTGCAAAATGGAGCGTATAATGGTGATTCGGTGCGATTGGTGAATGGTCTGTTGGCCTTGTCGATGAAAAGGAGCTTTATTGTATCCTCCGAGTGCCTGCAGGGTTCATCAGTCGCTAGTACCTCGTTTCATTTCACCAAAGACATATTTCCTTAATCTTGCCTCATCCCAATGCATCAGCTTAATACATAAGCTACCACTTAGTACAAATGATGAGAGGTTGAAGCTGAGAGAGGTGAAGCATAGGATTGAAAGGGATGGCAGGAGTTAGCTAGAGAGGAAATGTCACAAGTTGAGGTTGCAAGGGAGGAATCGTGAGTCACGATGGTAGGCTAATTTTAAGAGCATGAAACCCTAGGCATTCTATGTTCTTGTAAGTTTTCTGTACTTGACCAGAGTGTTGATGCGTAACTACTGTGCAACGAAAGGAGGTATTATTAATGTCTGGTATTTTCTCTTCATCTGGTGCGAGAGCAGGTTTAATTTAGCCCCACTCGTTTGCTAGCACTTGCTCCGTTAAAGTTTTCGAGTAATAACCCTCTCGATAAAGTCGTCCAACTTGCACAAACATCCATAGTCACTCGCGAAATCAGCTACTGTCCTAGCACAGTTTAACCAGCCTGTAAGTGAAAGTCTTGACACCCTACCTTACATGCATATTCAGTGAAGCACTACATTCATAGACGCGTGATTCCCTACGGTCTAAGAGGATACTTCTATCACTTAGGCGGGCATGAGTACAGCTTGAGATCACAAGACTCTGGCTAGAGAGGGTTGGGCGTCCTCCCTGCGAGTGCGATCGGAGGCGTTCGTCTGCATCTGACGAGGCTTAAGTGGCAAATCTTCAACCCGTGGTGCAATAAGCAGCGATTCTGTCCCTTAATACCGAGCATGCTCGAAACCTCGATACGACAAATTAGAAAGAAACATATTCACCTCGATCCTTAACCCTGTATTTGGGATCACCAGTGTCGCAGCGTCGCAAAAGACGCACTGCTTGGCATGGAGTTTGACGGGAGCAGGCTCACTCGGTTTTCGGATTTGCGCTTCGATATGTTCTCATCACACCGACAGCTTGGTGCGCGCTTAGCCAGAACTGACTTAGCGGCTTACAGGGAATATGCAGAGACCCTCTTTTGCGAAGCTTGATTAGAATACAGTCGTGCAAGGGGGGAACGTGGCGTCTCAGTCGTCAGGCAACTTGAGTGTGTTGCGCCAAATTACGACGAAGAAACAGCACTGTAGCTTGAAAAACAGGCTTCGCCCTTTTGCACGCAACAACAATTTCACTGCGCCTCATTGAGCAGGGCACCTTTGCCGCACGCTGCGAGTGAATCGTGCAACGAATGGCTATGTAAAGTGCTGCGCCCCAAAATTGCAGCTGGCTTTTCCTAGGCAGCAATTGAACACCATCGGGATATCGTTATCGCTTGCACTGCATGTCACAATCTCTCACCAAAAGTATCGGACTGAGCAGGGGTGCTTACCGCCTCTTTGTTGCTTCCAGACAGCTCCTTAATTAACTCACGGTGCCCTAAATTGCCTACTTTCGTGGTTACACATCTCACCTTCCACTTCCCGTCTGAATCAAGCCAGCTCGCCATGGAATTGGAATATCAGGTCGAAACGACCCGCCGCCGAGACTCGGAATATGCGAAGACAGTATGGTTCCTCCCCATCTCCGTGTAGTTGCGTCGCTATTTTATGGTTCATATACTGGCTCAGTCAATCTCTATTATTCACTGTACATCTTGCCAAGCCTTTTCTCTTATTAGTTTAAAAAAGGGCTAGATTAATGTCTAATTAGCCTATAAAACTTTCTACTACTTTTGTAAATATTCTAGATTTTTAAGGCAAATAAATATATTTTACTAGGTTTATTACTATATTCTAGGTGTTTTAATGCAATATTATAATGCTGTGTTCTGTTATTAGTAGGCTAAAGTTTGCCTTTTTGTTACTATTTACAGTTTTAAGGTGTTGCTAAGCTAGAATTAGTGTGTTAGCGTCTGTATTCTAGTACTGTCCCCTTTTCTTAGTTATATCTGTCTAATTTTAGCTAGATATTTGTAGATATCTGCTAACACTGTTACTTAGGCTTAGTATGTCTTTCTAGCCTTACTATAAGGAATGTTAAACCTATTGCCTATTATCTAACTTTGCAACTAACTAACGCAGTGCTCTATATAAACATTATTAGTAGTATAGAAGATTTATTTATTTATATCTTTATTTTTTTTTTATTATTACTAAATTGTCTTAGAGAAAATAACACACTTTTTAAAAAATTAATTCTAACCTACTAACATAAAAAGTATAGTATAACGCTTATAAAGAATAATCTTTTTATTACTAATAAATATAAACTATATCTTCTACTTCTTTACATTTAAATGTGTTTAATTCTGTCTTAATTAGTTATATTTCTTTAATATCTACATCTACTTTTTTTTTTATTTACTTAAATGTTAATTAGTTTACTTTAACTTTTACACCTTTATTTTCTTTTATTTATTTAAACTCTTAACTTTAGTTAACTTTTTTACTATTTACTATGTTTTAATATACTTTAATTATATTTACTTTTTAGCTTTTTATATTTTTTAAGCTTAATCTAATTAATACTAAAAAACTATGCCTAGCTGCATATATTATAAGTGTACTCTACTATTTGCCTATTAATCTTAGCCTAATGCGCGATCCTACTGCTATGTGTACAGAATGTAGTGCTTATTATTAGATTAATAAATGTTTAGCTAGGTTTACTACTAGCTAGCTAAAATATAGGTTTTGCTGCTTTTAAAAAGATATTTATTTAAAGTTTTATTAAAACTTACTAGTTATTATCTAGAGTTTATTAAATAGTTTTTATATAAAAAGTGCACATTTTTATAATAATATTTATATATATAATGCTTCTCTAGCTTTTACTTCTACTAATTACACTACTATAGATTACAACGTGTGTAGAAATAGTGTTAAGATATTTTAGATTATAGGGGAACTTTACTACTTATAGGGTCTATTAGAGCCTACTTAGGGGGTTGCTGCTAGCTACGCGCAGTTATACTTCTATAACTTAGAGTTTACTTTAAGTACTTAGCTGTAGCGCAACTAGAATTTAAACCTAAACCTAACTCTATTATAAGAGCTTATGCATATGTTAGAGGCAGATGCCTGTAATCTATAGATTTTTATTTATAAAACTGCCTATAAAAGACTAAAAAGGGCTAGGCGTAATAGTTAAAATATTTAGATTATTATAAACTCTTAATTAAAGCTTATTATTAAAGCTAGTGCTAACTAATAATAAGAAAATTTGCTAGTTTTAAATAAAGTTACTAGCTTAATTATAAAGGATTTTAATAAGAGTATAAGTTGCAGTCTAATTTTACATTATTATAATAGTAACAACTCTACTTAATTCTACTTTTAAGTCTGTTCTTCTTATTCTGCCTATTAGCCTTTTTATTATGTTTTTATGTTTTCTACTAGTTAGCTTAGATTCTTTTTTAGGCTTACACTGCGTAATTCTAATAAAGTCTAGAAGAATCTTTATGTTACTAATACTATGTTTTATTAATTTTATCTATTTCCTTAGAGGGGTTGCAACATAGTACCCTTTGCCTATAGCTAATTATTCTAATAGTAGATAATAAATTACTAGGCATAAGTTAAATAAAAAGAGCTTTATTAAGTCTATAATAATTAGTTAAAACTCTAAGCAAATCTTTATTAAGGCATTAGTAATGCCTTATACTAAGATAATTTTAATGTGTAATTTATTAGTATTTATACTATACTTTCTTTAAGTTATATTAGCAGTAGTTAGTTTATATCTTAGTATTACTAGAATTTTATAGCTATTATTTAGAAGCTTAGACGCTTTTCTTTATTTATTATATTTACTATAAATCTTAAGTAGCCTAAGATAATAGTAGAACTTAAATAGCTATAGTGTGCTCTAAATTAGCCTAATATAATTACTTAAATATTTAAGTTATAGCTAGATTTTTTAATAGAGAATATTAAGTTATAGTAAGTGTTTAGTTGCTTTACTAGCATTATTTATATAATTAAGTATTAGAAGTAGGGACTTCCCTATGCCTATATTTTACTCTTTATGCACCTAGACAATAGAGATTAGCTTCTATTGCCTAATTTTATTAATTATGTTATATAGGCTAAGCGTCTAACACAGTTCTAGGATCCTAATAGTATTCTAACTAATATTATTATAAGGTCTATAGTACATAGTTCTTATAGCAACTTAAATCTATTTACTAGCTGCATGTAAGTGCTTTCTAAGTTAAAGTAGCCTTTTTACTAAAAAAAATTTTTAAAAAATTTTACTATAAAAACTATAGTAAAAAAAAATAGTTATTTAATTTATTATTAGCAAGATAATAGCTAAGTCTAAATAGTTAAGTATAAATAATATAAAGTTATAGTTAATAATTAGTAGATTATTTTTTATAGTTTATTCCTATCTAGGTAATATAATGCGCATGTTAATATAGAAGTCTGCGCATCTATTAAGGCTATTAAATACATTTATAAG